TTAAAAACTGTATCAACTTTGCATCATTTTTGGCATAATTTTTTCTGGTGTTTTAAATTTTTGCAAAATAAGTTGTATTTAGAATTGCAATTGGTAATAAAAATGCGTTGGAAAGATAAGTTAGGCATAAAGCACTAACTTTGTTGAGGTTTGGCTAAATTTGAGAAATCGGCAAATGTCAAATTTTCGAAAAACTGTAAAAAAACTAAATTTGTACTAGAGAGCTAAAAATTGGTATTTGGGTAAAAAATGAAAAAACAATCATCTTTTCTCTTTACCGATTTTCGAAATTTCGAGCAATAACTGCTTTTCTGAACATTTTTTGGGAAAAATGTCAAATTTGACAGGGAAGAAAAATCACTTGATCGGTCATATGCATGTCATTTGGCATCATTTTTAAATCACAACTTAATGGAGATATCAAAAGTTGCTTGAAGAGATGAACAAAAAAAAATCCCATTCGATGCGGACTTTATGTGTGACACTGTATATCACCTTCAAGTTATTTTTGCTGAAGACTCACTGATTGTCATTAGTGAAATGTAGGTAGCGAATAGAAGGGTGACAAATATTCCAGGTTGATATAGGGTGTTTCCTAACTAGGGTATACATTTCCAGAGGATGTAAAAACCAATAATAATAACTGTCAGAATAATTCAATATCCATTGTGGTATTAGCCGGAGAAGTAGTTGTTTTCTGGCAGGCATTTACCAGAACCTACTGTGTAGGTTAAAAGAGATGAATGTTTCAAGATCCATTACGAAATATCTATTTTCCTTTACTTATGAATCGCCATCTTCAGGCTTATTTTGATTTCTGTTAAGAATATTGGTACTTGAGACGTACTAATTGATATTAAATACCTATAAATCTGTTTCGAGTAAATTTTATAATAAAAAAAATAACATTTCAGGTGGAGTTGATATTACTGATGGAATAGCAATGTCACATGATGTAAAATTTCTAGGTACGATATTAGATGAATCTCTGAATTGGGATCTGCATATTGATGGGGTTTGCAAAAATTTAATGCAGCATTTTCCGTGAAGGAACAAATGAAATTTTGTGTAAATAAAAAAATCTCTTGAGTATATATTTTGTAATGGCATATCCGCATATTTCCTTAAATATAATGGCATGGGGATGCGGTAGAAATTTTAGTATATTATTTGTTGCCCAAAAACACATTATAACACTAATTTTTGAGAGCTGCAAATCCATTCTTATAAGGTAAAATATATCATCAGTTCCATGCATATACATATTCAAATGTGTGACTTATGTAAGAAATAATCTTGCTTCTTTTGAAACGAATGCTTCTTCTCATAATTATCATACACGTCATAGTGGTATGTTAAGGATACCCTCCTGCAAATGAAATAAATTTAAAAATTCTCCAGCATACAGTGCTATCTCACTTTACGATAAATTGAAAAATTCAATCAAGGAGTTCAAATCAAATAAAATCTTCAAGAATAATACGAAAATATTCCTTATAAAAAAATGTTTTTATAGTTTAAAAGACTATTGGGGTCAATAATTTCTTAGTTTCGATTAATGTGAATAATGAGTTCAATTGTTGAATATTCATATTTAGAAAACATCATTGTCCACTTCTAAAATTTGTAATTTTTTCCTCAGGATGCCAAATTGCTAACTTCAGTGTCTGCAACCGAACGAGTAACGATATGGGATAGATTTACAGGTCCCGTTGATCAGGATACGGTAAAATTAGAATTCTTCAGAAAAGTGCACAGAAAACACCCCCCTTTTCGAATAAAAACCCGTTTACCACCAAAAAATACTGTTAAAGTCCCAGAAATGGTAAAGTTCCATTACAAAAAACCAGTGAAGCTGCTTCCGCGACTACGAGACGTGCTAAGATTAGAGTGTTTAGAAAGTAAACGAAAAAACGTGGACCTACTAAGTGAACATGTAGTGAAAATAGAGGAGGAAAATGAAGTGCAAGACAACATTAAGACAGAAGATATTCAAAATGAATATAGTGACAACTGTGATATTAAAAAAGACAGTAGAAAGTTAGACAATGGAACTTCAGAAGAGAACGGTAGCAATATTATCTTGGATAATATCGAATGGACATCTTTAAATGGCTTTGTGAAAAGTGAACATTTGAATGGTGGCTATTTTGAGAAAGAACTCATCAGGAAAGAGCACAGTTTTATCACAGACATGATATCAGGAGTAACAACGGAAAGTGAGTATAACAACACCTGAAAGAATTTTATCTAGAAATTATTGATAGGTTAATGTATAAACAAAGCAAACTTTATTATATTGAATGGTTCTTTGTTCGAAGTTATTGATGAGGTGAGTGAAATATTAGGTATATACAAGTATTGATTTAAACACATACAACAATCTCGAAAATGAAAAATTCATAGATAGAATCTGAAAGAATACTCTCTAGTAATTATTAGTAATTATCATATATTCAGTGATCCTTTTGTTTGATGTTATTGATCAGGGCAGTGAAATGTTAGCAAAATAATTGAGTATTTACTAACAAACTCAGGAGTATTCCCCTTTTTTTCTTCCAAATAAGTTTTTAAAAGAAAAGTCGTGATTTTTGTGAGAGGGGCATGTTTTTGTCTTCAAAAGATCAAATGCATGCTAATGAGGTGTTGAAGACAGGTGTTTTGAAACCTTGAGAATAGTGTATTTCCATTTAAGGTAAAGTTAATATTAATATTCTTTCAAATATCAGTTTATGTAGTATTATTATGAATGATATCGGTTTCAATTCCATAACAATGTTTGAAGTAGAAATTGAATGGGAACAAGTGATTTTCTTATAATTCAATGTTCGCATGAAAGTAGTTGTTTAAAAAACTTTTTCTTTCGTGTATTTCAGTGTTCATGTGAACGTAGTTGTTTGAAAAGAGCTTTTTCTTTTAGTTTATGTTTGAGGAACTGTTCACAACTTTCTAATTTTCCACCTGATTTGTCCCTCATAATATAATCATTCTTTCAAGATTATAAACTTGGTCTAGTAAAAGGCAGATTGTTTGAAATGTTTTATAACACCTGCGAAACCAATTATACAGGGTGTTTCCTAACTACGGTACGAAAATTTAGAGGTCAGTTTTAAGAAAAAAGTTCTTATTAACAAATGTCAGAAGTTGCCTCGTTTCGGAGATACATGGCGTTGAAGTTAAAAAAAAACCTATTTATAAAATATCCTTACACCAATTTCATTGGAATTTGATACAGTTATTTGAAGTAATAAGGCGCTTATTTAGCCCAAACTAGATTGAAATTATTAGTTCCGGTGGCGTCTCAGTGGGCACCACAGCCAACAATATTGAGAGAGAAAAAGACGCTACTGACTTTTTTGTAGTTTTTTATTTCTTCGAATCAAGCAACTAAAAATACAACTATTTCGTCGCTTTTTTTTTCATATCAAGCTTCGTTTTTGAGAAAAAATACTTCTAAAAACTATCCATGGACAACATAAAATAAAAACCAAAAGTAAATAGTAAATAATTTCAACCCTAAAATGAATGAGCAAAATGTCCACCTTCTGATAAAATACACGACTGCAATCTATTTGTCATTGATTGTCTGACACGTTCAAAAATAACTGGAGTATTCCTTATGACATTGCAATTGTCAATTATTCAATTGCTCAGGTAGTTCACATCTAATACAGGAGTTTAAACAAGAACCTTCAGATGACCCTATAAATAGAAATCCAGAGGATTCATATCGGGAGTGCGAGCTGGCCAATTTTGAGGTTCTTCACGTCAAATCCAGCAATTAGGGTAGGTTATGTCGAGATGCTGACTAACAAGAACACTAAAATGAGCCGGAGCCCCGTCTTGTAGGATTCACCTGCTCATCTTGCTGGTAGAAAAATGGTCCAGTTAGGTAGTCACCAGTCATTCCTACCCAAACGTTCAGCAAAAATTGTTGCTGAAAATGACTTTCTCTAATAACGTGTGGATTTTCGTCGGCCCAAAAATAGTCATTGTGAAGGTTCATAATATCATCTCAAGAAAAATTTGCTTAGTCGGTAAATTGAATATTTGGTAAAAAATTATTATTGTGTGCCATCGTATGAAAATAAATCATTATTCACTACTTGTCAAAACTGACTCGTTCAGTCAAAACTGAATAAAAAAAATCTGATATCCAAGGCCTTATACCGTATTGACGAATTTTTTTGAAGACATGCATAATTTTAAATTCACCTAGTCTCATTGTAAGTACTCTGTAAAATCTATATAATTCTACTGGCAGTAAAAAAATAAAAAAGGTTCCTTATGCCACTGGAAACATCTTATTATAATTCCACTTTTTTCCCTAAATATCGTGATTTGAGTTTCATTTTCATGTAAGTTATTGCATTATTATATTTATGCTTTACATTCATGTGTCGTTACTCAAATCCTAATTAGTTTTTCTGTTATCTTAGCTAGGTTGAGATTAGGACCTGAGTGTTACCTCTTTCAAATAAAAGTTAATCATAACCAATAATAAAAATATTTCCATTAATTTTTCTCATTTTCAGTTCAATTCCAAAACAATTTTTAATGTATTTTTGGGAAAAGAAAGTTTTGGCCTTCTACTTCTCCATCTTGATACATAAGATCGCTCTTGAAAATATAACTTTTCAATTTTAATTTTTAATGTATAAATTGAAAGGGGTATATTTTAAGTGAGATTAATTTTTGGGAAAGGAAAGGATTTCTTCTTCTCCATCTTTATATAAATAAATGTGAAAGATTGCCACATTTTTTTGTATAAAGGTGGAGAAGTAGAAAGCCAAAATCTTTCTTTTCCAATTTTTAATGAATATTACAGTTTTATTACTACCTATAATATTGTCTTGTTATTGTTTATGAGGTAGTATTGAGGTTGAAACTCCATGATAATCTTGCATGAAATTTGGATTACTGCTGAAAGTGGCACTTAAGTGTACTGAACCATTTATTCTGGTTGCACTCAGTATTCTTTTATTACTTATAATCTCCATCTGAGAATGCTATGGAACATATTGTTGAATTTGACAGTTTGATAAATTTGTCACATTCAACTCATTGATAAGTGATGTGTTTTGAGTAATAATAAACCTAGATATATGTATGTATTTATGATATTTTTCTTCAGTATTCAGTAATTGTCAATTATTACTAAAAAACTATTTTGAATTATTGAAAAATGACATAGTATTAGCTCAAAGAATTAATTTCTATTTGCTCAATTTTCCACCTTCAATTCATTTTGGTAATACATGAAATATGTTTGAAATTTTAATATTCAGAGAATTTCAGTTCATTTTGAAAATTATACAAGTGCCATGAAGTTGTATTATTCGGAGTGAATCAATAACAATTTCATCTGGAAAAACATCACCATCTAAAAGATGGTCGTGTTTACAGATTGAAAATGCCAAAAAATAACCTATGTAATGATGACAAAATAATTAAGACATTCATTAAATAGATTAAAAAGTTATATCTCGCTAAAAATAGTTTGTTTCTGATACTTGATGTTTTTATTTAATATTCAAAATATGTCATCTCTGATTTTCTTCTGTCACATTCATAAGACTAATTGTTGTGGAACATACATTTGTAGAAATCTATATGTAGAATTATATGAGACATGGAATGTGATTCATTTTTTCTTGTTTTATTGAGTATGGTTATCTGATGTTATTTTCTATTCTTTGAATCATTACTAAAACACCAACTCATGTTGAAAATATCTCAAACAGCTCTGCCATACCTGTCATGTTCTTTAGATTGAAAAGGTTTTTACTCTATTATAACAGTTTTGAACAGAACTTCTACAATTATAATCTGCCAAATTGAGCAAATTTCATAACAGCATAAGAAACTTTTTCCTTTCAGTTGAGTTGGAATTGAAGCAGTTAGACGACAGAGTCATCAAGCTCCTTGCATACCAGCGTATCCAACAGCTTCTCACTACTTCATCCTCCAACGCTCTTTTCTCTCCAGCCTTTAGGGAAAATCTACGAAATATGCCTCTCCCCAGCGAACTGCTCACTCCTGCTGATATTGATAGAATATCTCGAGTATTTTCGAGTCCAAAAAAGAAAACGAAACCCAAGTCTACCATTAGGGCAAGAGCTATGATGTGCCCAGTGGTTTCGAAGCATTTCTATAATGTTAGAACTACAGAGGTAGATCCAACAGATGTTCGACATGATGACAGCTTTATGGGATTTAGACCAACAGTATCTCTTAGATTTCCTGAAGCTGTAGCTATGCGATATAGGGTTTTAAATATTGGAAAGGGATCTGCTAATGATGTTAATTTGGAGAATTTTGGTATTTGTAATTTCATTGCACCCAAACATGCCACTGTTTTTTTTGATGAGGTGAGTAGAAATCATTGTTGATGTTGTAAATGGAAAACTTTGTTTGCTGAATAATATAAGTGTGCTACGATTCTCAAATTAAATTGATAATAAAATCGCAGTTGCGTGCTGTGAAATAACGAATCCATCGAATGAAATAGGCTAGCAAAACCTCCCCTGAATTTTTATCGCACATCCATCAGCAAAATTTATTAAATTCTTCCTTAGTAATTCTAGCTGATATTTTCAAACAGTAATTAACTTAGATTGTTCAGCTTCTTAGCAGTTTCCTCACAGATCTATGTACAGAGTTTATTATTACCTGAATAGCTTCCTTCCTTCCTTACTTCAAAATATTTACAGAAGATGTAGAAAAAAAGTTTTATTTTTCCAAAAGCTAATATCCCCTGAAAAAAATTCCTTTTTCCCTTCTCGCAAACATTTTTTAATTCTCTCAATACCAAAGAAGCACCATTTTCTGAAATTATAACGCTTGTGGTACTCCATACTATGCAAAACAATTCCTTAGTTTATCAACGTTTAGAAGATCGATAGAACTTATTTCATCAACTTGTGGTCATTTCAAAAAAGGATCTATGATAAATAATGTCGTGCCTGTAAAAGGGCCACTGTAAATTCTATTGAAAATATGTTTGTCTTTGTGTTATGTTGCTACGAAAGTTGTATTTGTAGTTGTAACTCAAATATAAATTACAATTTTGTACATATTCCTCTATATCTTGATCTATATTTGGACACCAAAAATATTGTCTTGGAAGAGATTTCATTTTGGCTACCCCAATATAAGCCTCTAACCTCTAAAACTCTCTAAAACCCTCTAAAACTTGTTTTCTGAATTTTTCAAGTATTGTTACTAAATATTTTTAGTCCATTAATATTTTGAATGAAACTTCAAATCAAAACATCCAAGACTGAATTGTTTTTTGAAATTATTACTGCAAATTTTCTCTTTACTTCGAAACAAATTGTACAACTGTCCGCCCTCTGTTGGAGACTTACTGCATCTCGGTATTACTATAGAATTTGATACCTCAAACTTTATTATGTTGTTTGAGGGGAATTTTACATTCGTGCGCCGTCCATTAAAGATTTTTAATACTAGTGACTAGAACTTAAAGTAAAAAACAAATAAGCTTATTTAAAAAAAATATTTTTAACTTTTCAGTTCGATGTTCTTCAAAAGCGTGTTTTTTAATTTTTTAAACTATATTTATTCAAATAAAGTTTGTGAAGATCAACTCGTGAGGTGTAGTTTTTGAAATTGATACTATATACTCCCACATCATCAGGTACTATTTCTGGCCACTTATCTCTTCAATATGATTCGAACAGGCTGAAACAGCTGTCTACTGTTGGCTGCATCAATCTATTTTGATTTCATATCGTATTCAAACATATGGATTCTTTTTCCAATGGCATTATTTGCTAAGCGATATATTTTCAAGCTAATCCGATTTCCAAAAGGTATAAAGTGTTGGAAAGATAATTGAAATTCTATCAAACAAGGCATCACAAGATTTTCCCTCTCTATTTGAAAAAAGTTTGCAGCGTCCTATAAGGTGACGAGTGTACCGCTTATGAAAAAGTACTAAAAATGATACCACTTCATGTAAATTTTGTCCAACCTTGATATCTTGTCCTGTTTCAAAGATGAAAGAACGGAAGGGTTTTTAATATCTGTACTGTACATTAAGAAGAAGAATTTTTGAAACATTTATTTATTCATCATAATATTCAGAAATATACAATTTGAAATATAAAGAATATACATATACTTGAATTAAAATTCTCTACAATGTAGCGTCTAAAAACTCTTCAATGAAGTGATAGGATTGATTTTTCAGAGAATATGTAAATACAAAACTTTTGAAATTTCTGTTATAATTGAGGCTCATTCAAATTCAATCCAAATTCTAGACTATGACTCTTGAACCTTTTTTTTTATTTTTCAGTATACGAAGCATTATGAGCTGATAAACTACTCTCCATATGGAACTTATGTCAATAATGTTTTATACTCTAACAATATCTCGCCTAAACGACCCGAAAAGAATGTTTCATCAGACGAAAAGTGTGCCAACTTGGAAATGCAAGTTCGAGAAATTATTGACAAAAAAAGGAGGATTCACAGAATACGCAAGCCATCTTCAGAAGCAAAAATGTCTGCTGTCGATTCTACGGATAAGTATGTTGTTTTGATCATATCTCTGGCTGACACATTTTTTGTAAGTTTTGTCTATTTTTGATCAATGAGTATTGTACGTGCAGGATTTTTACAATTAGTATTTTTGTATAATTTTCAATTTCTCTTGTTTATTACCAGCCTTGTTTAGAATTTAATTTTTAAATAATGGCTAATTGTTCGTATAAAATGAGTTTTCAGTAAGTCTACCATGACTAGTTTGGAATCAGAAACTCTTCTTTGGACACATTCAATTTTTGGAACTATGCTGGTTGTAGCTCCTTGCTTATTTTTATTTTCTAATTGCTCTAGAATTATTTTTTTATCTTCTTATTCTATTAATGATGTTGTTTGTGTCCATGACTATACCAACCCATCTACTTCATTGTGCTCGTGGGCAATGGGGAATGTTCCTCAATTTGGGTTATTACAGCAAATACAAGTTAGAACAAAATAAAGTTGAGTTTAATTCATGAGTTTTTCAAATTCACTTCAAAAAGTATTCAAATTGATGTTTCAAATGTTGGGTTTTAATTTTTAAAGGGATTTGTTTCTAATTCACATATTGGCAACAGCGCCTATATCAAGTTGAAATAATTTATACGTATCTAGATATTCTACTTTTAAAAAGGAAAATTATCTTTATAAATCAACAATTAAGGCAAAATATAAATTACAGTTCAATACCACCTTCACAAGCCAAATAAACACAGTTGTTTTGTTATTTATTTATATAGAGGAAGATAGGTTAGGTGCACAAAATGTCATATGTCACAGAATGTCTCGGAACTCGGAACATAAGTAAACAGAACAGCACGCCTCTGAAATATGTCACCTTTGTTTGTCTCATACAGGTAACAGATTCATTGTCCTTTATTAGCTATAACCGATGTTGCCAAATGGTGAAATAGAAACGAATCCCTTCAAATGTTGATTGCATTATTTAATTCCTCTTTTTTAAGTATTTAAATAATTTTTTAAAGAAAAATATTGAAATGATAAGTTTAAAATGCGTTGTTTTAGAGTTTTTTTATGAAAACTACTTGATTTTCGTCGGGAGGAACATTCCCCATTGTATTCAATTATAATAATGAATTTAATAATCCCAAGAAACATTACATGTTCATAGTGGGGACGATGTGACATACATATTGAAAGAAAAAAAGAACATACTGAGAATAATACTACAAATAAAAATATGTAAAACTACAAAACTGTCAGTCTATTTCAAAATGTGTTAGTGATCACACGTTAAAAGGTAAGACCTCGTTAATCCTTGGCTCGCACAAGATTCGACTTCTCAGGGTTGTCGTTCGTAGGTGTGCTACTGCTGGTTAATGGAAAATAATATTTTTTTTTTAAAACAGATGCATTCTTTAAGTATGTCTTGAATATCGTATAATTCAATTTTTTTTATATTGTTAGGTATTTTATGGTTCAGTGATTGCAGTTTCTGAACCCAGGTAGAGAAACAACAAAATTTAGAGTCGACAATATATAAGACCGATCGATTTCAATGGATGCTTAGCTATTGAAAATTATGACCATTCCTTGTATCTGTTAGTTTTCTCAGAAGGCAATTTATTTGAGATGACTTCTATCATTTTAACTCATTTTGGTATACTTATATAAGTTTTCAAATCAAAAAGCCTTAAATCCAATTCATTTGAACATTAAAAGAAATGGTTTGTCATTTTCAGATTGGAATGTTGCTGCGTCCATAATCCAGATGAACTGAGAAAAGGCTGGGAAGGTTCAGCAATTTTGAATCATGGTTCATTGATACAATTTGGTTGTGTTTCATTTGTTTTCTCAATTGTTGAATGTACAAATCAGTAAAGTAATTTATTGTATATGTATGTATATTGTATAGTATCTTTGGAAATGTGTCATTATTGTAATTAAAAATAGTATATTTTCTTAAAATTCTTTTATTTTTCCCAATATGACTAGTTTATGCCGAAAATGAAATTTTGTAATATATTCGAAAGTGATGGTCTCAAAAAATCACTATTTGTTGATTTTTTTGTTTAGAAAATCTATAGTTACTTTCAGAAACTCTGCAGGTTTTTCACTATGTATCCAATGACCAGCTCCTTCTATGAATTTCAGTTCAGCATTTGGAAATAATTTCAGTATTTTTGGGTAATCACTTTTCCTGAAAAACAAGAGAGATGTAATGAAATATTTTAAAAACAGAATATACTTTCATGATTGCACTTGAAATAAATTGAAAAGAAAATTCATGGTCAAAGGACTCTGAAACACGTCTTCAGTTTGCATTCTTTTAGAATGTTGGAGTGTCTACATGACAGTATGGTACTGGATGGAGCCTGTAAATTCATCAGGAATTCGGATCCCCTTCTTGGCATGGTCCGCGGCCATGAGAGAGCAGAAATTGGAGCACTTTTCTTTGGGGCAGCTGCCCGAGTAGCTGGTGAACTCGGTTTAGTTTTCGACTGAAACTAGGTGATCACAACTCTGTCACCAAGTTGGAACCTGTTCAGCAAAAGGCTTATATAAAAGCCAATGCAATATTGCAAGACCTTGAAGACCTTGGCTTATCGAAGTGCCTGACTTTCGTTTTCCTCAGATCGAGTGGGCTGGAGTCGTAAACAGGGGTTCATCATGGCTTGCCAGGATGGTGTCTTTAACATCTTAGTCTACCGCAATTCATTTCTTTTGTATCACGATAATGCACCTGATTACTCGTCATTGCATGTTCGTAATTTTTTGGCAAAAAACAACACCGTAATCATGCCTCAGCCACCGTATTCGCCAGATTGGTCCCCAGCGCTTTTTCCTGTCTCCAAAATTGAAGACACCCATGACAGGACGGCGTTTTGTGATGACTTAGGAGATAAAAACTAAATCACTGAGAGAGCTCAAGGACATACCAAAAAGTGCATATTGAAACTTCTTCGAAGCTGGCACAAGTAAAATAAATCGTTTGCAAAAGTAAATATCTCTACATTATTTTTAGGGCTTTATTGAATACTACATGCGGCTTGTAAATACTAGGTATGACAAAAAAACTAATTAGGGCAGCTGCAGTGAATTCCTCGATTTATTTTCAGATACACCGACAACTAACCCTTATCTTTTGAAGCGAGCCAATAGATGCTCGCTGCAATATGTAAGGGCACCTTTGATCATGTGTTGGATTAGAATCCATCTTTACATTTAGATGTTTCATGGAAGAATCCTAAATTTCAAATTGTTCCATTTTTTAATACAATACAATTCTATCATCCATATTTTCGATTACTGGTTTTTGACTATACAGAATGAATAACTTTTTTCGAGATCAATTGCCCTAACACCAAACTGATATTTTTGCACTCGACGCGCGTTTTGCCAACAAAGTTAGCATCCTCGGGAGAAGAAAATTGATACCTAGTCTAGTCTGGTTAGTCCTTATATACTAAAATTTGTTACCTGAGGTTGTATACCTGAAGTCCAATATGGAATTCCTCGGTAATTAACTACATGCAAGTTTTTTGTAATTATTATCTTCCTAACAGAAGATTAAAAAGCGGGCTAAACGGGATGGGTCCCTTATCGCAATTCATGCTGTTTTTACATTTTGCTATTTCTAGATTCTCACATGCATCGAGTAACCTGGTGTCATGCACATGCTTAATAAATTTCAGATTGTTTTCACCAATTCTGTGGTCCTTGTCTAGAGCATGTTGGGCGACACTGGATTTTTTTATCCTTCCGTATTTCACGTGTGCACAATGCTCCTTGAAGCGGGTTTTAATCGCTTGTCGGCTCTGGCCGATGTATTTGCTGTTGCAATCTTGACAACTGATGTCGTAAATCCCCGACCTTTCTGTGTTTTCTAGTCTATCTTTTGGATTACCAAGAAGCTGTTGCAATTTATGAGAAGTTTTATATGCAACTTTCATATTTACTTTATCGAATATCTGTTGAAGCCCTCTCGTGTATTGGGGTTCATATGGGATTACTATAAACTTGTTATTACTCTCCTCTTTTTGAAACGTTGAAGATTTACGAATTTTCTAATTATCTTGTCAACTATATCTGGGTTAAAACCATTTGCTTCAGCTACATACCGAATCACTCTCTTTTCATTGTCGTACTTATCTTTCTTTAAAGGAAACCTAACCTAACCTGTGTACCAGAAATTGCGGTGCCGCCAATTTGTGTTGTGGACAATGATTCGAGTCATTAATCTTCTGTTAGGAAGAGAATAATTACAAAAAACTTGCATGTAGTTAATTACCGAGGAATTCCATATTGGACTTCAGGTATACAACCTCAGGTAACAAATTTTAGTATATAAGAACTAACCAGACTAGACTAGGTATCAATTTTCTTCACCTGAGGATGCTAACTTTGTTGGCGAAACGCGCGTCGAGTGCAAAAATATCAGTTTGGTGTTAGGAGATTGATCAATCTTCTTTTCCTGAGGATGCTAACTTTGTTGGCGAAACGCGCGTCGAGTGCAAAAATATCAGTTTGGTGTTAGGGCAATTGATCTCGAAAAAAGTTATTCAACTTTCACACCAAAGGTTCCAATCTCATCGTTACTATACAGAATATCAATTTCGGCTCACAATTAGTTCACTGGAACAAGTTTCTGTGATAAGTGGTCAAATATAATGATTTTTACATTTCACAGGGGCACTTTGTGAGACTTCGAACTTTATCAAATATTTTTTTACTAAATTATTGAATATCTCTGAAACCATTCCTTCGAGAATATCAAGAATCATTTCAAATAATAAAAAATGGTATATAAATTTGAGAAAATTGAGCAATGACTATTTTTTCAAAGTCAAGCTTTATTTTTGAGCAGCACTACCAATTGAACAATGGAATAAACTCACTCGTCCTATGGACTCGCAGTTTTGTCAAGCTGGTTGCTCTCACGGTATTGCTAAATAACACAATTTTCTTAAAAAAAAATGAAAATTTATTAACAAAATTTTGAGGTCTTTTGATAAATCATTATCAATTAGTTTTTGTGCTACAATTTCAAATTGCTGTACTTTTCAAGACACGTCTAACTAGATTTTGTCAACAATTACCTAGAGAGAAAACATTATAATAAAGTGTACTGTTGAATGTCACAAAATGTTGAAAATGATTTGAATTGATCGATTGGTTCATTTTCATTAGATGAAAATACCTTTACTGTATTTTGAGAATTTTCGCATTAAAATGAGTTTTCATGTGTGTAATGGTTGACTGGGGAATTTAAAAAAGTATATATTGACTGAAAGACTGACAGAGAGAAAAATTATATTTTAAATGTCTTACGGGATATGATCTGATTTCGCACCACCAACAAACAGCACTGGGCCTTCATACTTGATGTTGTATATTTCTGGAAACGTAGATATATATTCAAAATTCTCAACAAGTGCTTGTTCATTGAAACGCCAACTATAACTATTGAATAACATGTTTCAATAAAAAGATGAGTTGAATTTAAGATAACTACCTTCCCTCATTTTTTTGAACTAAATTCGTTAAGATGAATGAAACAAGTTGCTTGTTTCCTACTAGAGTAAACAATTTTTCGCTCAAAATTTTTCTTGTCTCTTGCAGAGTAGTTTTTTCTGGTATCTCAATTCTTTTCAGAATATTCAGAAGTTTTGGAAGTTGTTTGACACTTGGACTACTTGTTATGGGGGAAATATCAGCAACTATGAGTTTCTCAACGAGTTCTGGCTGAAAATGTTAGAGATGACTTACCAAACAGATTTAGGTTACTTATCTATATTCTATATAGTAATATAAATGTGAAAGTTTGTGAGGACCGATGTATGTATATACGTTTGTGGATCTTTCACGCCTAAACAACTTAACGGATTTAGATGAAACTTTACATAAATACAGCTTATATATCAGAATAACATGTAAGATACAATTTACAAAGGTTTTGTGTAATTTTGTATGTGTATGTATGTTGTAGAGTATTTAATCCTTTACAATATTCATACAAATAGCATAAAAGCCATAGGAAACGAGATTTTTGCAATAAATGTGTAAAAAATCGATTTTCTGACCTTGGAATATCTGTAGTCGCAGACACCCTGTGATAAGTAGGTTCTGAGAGTTTTAGGGTGCCAAAATAAAGGTTTATATAAGTTTATAGCTGACTGATTATCTTACATTTCAAGGTGAAACCCCTAATATTCCTGGTGTAATACGGATTGTAAGATATTGGTAGATAGAAATTATTTGATTAAGGTATGTCTAATAAATTCATCACAATTTCAATAATGAATAGAATAGAATTTAATCATTTGTAAAAGCAGAACATAATGTTACAAAATAATTTGGTACACAAATGTTACTACTTCATTAGACTAATCAACTAAAATCAGAATATATACCTATTTATAAGACTATTTTACATACACAACCTACTTTCAACGCTAAAATTTGTTAAAAAAGGTTAAAGAGGTCATATTCAGTCATTTAAATTATAATTATTCAATTCTTGCTTCTGAAATCTTATAAAACATCTATTTCTATGTGAAAGAAAGGTTTTGGCTTTCTACTTGTCCATCTTTATGTAAAAAATTTGGAAAACTTCCAAAGTAAGGAAGAAAGCAATTGATCCAAAAAAATGATCTACACATCATGATGATCTACACATCTTTGTGAAAAGTTCATTTTGAAATTGATTACTTCATTCCTTTCTTTGGAAGATTCCCACATTTTTTGTATGAAGATGGAGGTAGAAAGCCAAAACCTCTCTGTCACAAAAATTTTTCTTTCGTTAAGATACATCCCTTTCAATTTAAATTCATTACTATGTTTCAAACAGAATTTTAAGGTCTAGCGATTTGTTTCACTTAAGATTCCATACTTAAAATTATGGCATACATAATCATAACACTTCGACTTATAAATGAAAGAATTTTAGATTTAATTGGGATATCTCTGAGCAAATTCAAAAATTTCAGCCTTATTCTCAATTGCATCTTATATTATTATTATTACTATATGTATTTTAAGTTGTGATGTAATGTTCTATTGTACACTATTGTATAATGTAAATGAATTTTTTTGTAAATGGGGGTGATCCCGTGAAATTATAAATGAATAAAAATTTAAAATCCACATTTTTTTCTCTCATTGGTCTTACATATTTGAGTGCAAAAAGCATCGCGGTTCTTCCGCCCATCGAATGGCCCAATAAATTAATTTTTTTCATATCCATTTTGTACATAAACTCTCTTATGTCCATAACCATATCGTCATAAGAATTTTCCGTAGCATGTGGCGAGTCCCCATGATTTCTCGCATCAATAGCAACCACTTTAGATTTGGTGTTTTCGTGACATTTCTTGCAATAACTATTCCAATTATTCTTGGAAGCCATAAATCCATGCAGAACCAAAACAGGAGTTGGTTCCGGGTTTTTATCTGAATAACTCTTCGTCGATTCATATGAAGCATATGCCAATTCTAAATTTTCTTCTCTTTTAATTAAATTTATCTGATGAAATGATTTGGTTCTTGATGAAAAGATGTTCATTTTTAAGGTTTTTGTTAATTTATTCACATGATGATGAAAGGACATGGCTTGATGAAGATGACAAAGATTTTAAGACAGCTGTCAGATAATCAAGAGCCTGCTATTGTATTTGTTTTATTCAATTGCAATCGTATACAAGATCTTTATCAAGTATGTATCTAAATATTGCAATTTCCACCATGAAAATAGTTTATAATTTTTACATATCATTAATGTTTAGATTTTATTTTCACCAGATTTTCTACTTTACATATTTTGGTTTTATTTTTTTGATATATATTTGATGGAATTGGCTGATATTTAAAGAAAATACATAACATATTCAAGACACACTTTATTGTGAGATTTCCGGTAGTTTTTCAAAAACGTAACACGTTTCGCTATACAATAGTTTATTCAGGCGTGTCTTCACCAACTTAAATCTAAATATTCAATGCTTTAATATGTATTTATAATCTGAAGTACCTATATTTCAAGTACCTGACTTTTACACAATCAATTAATGTTAAATGTGTACCTGACTTTGTAATGTACCTAATGAATGAAATGACTAGAGCTTGTATACCGGTTTCCACATTTGAAAAAATATTCAGTAACAGGGAGTTATTTAATTCTATTTGGTCATTCAGTAAATGACCCGAATTCTTGAATCTATTTATTTCTAAACATTCTAAAAGATTGAGTTTCAAACTTTTCTCTTCTAAATGTAACACAGCAACAGGAGACACAGTGGTTGGACACAAAAAGAAGTTGTTTGATACAGTTTGAAAAGATTAGAAAATCCCCGGGAGATCTATCCAAGGAAATAATCATGTTTATTGTTAAAATCAGAAGTCCCAAGTCATTACTCGAAATATCGTTCAATGGGGGGAAGACTTATTGTGAATTCCTTCACTTTCATTCTTTTTCTAGGGAAATTACACAATTTCATAGTTATTCAAAATCGCAATTAAGATCATCTTATTCTTATCCGCACACTTGTACGGATAAGAATATGCAAACAAAGCATCCAAGAGATTTAAATTGTACTCTAGGCTGTTGATATTTGAATTAAAAATAATCAACTTTTATGAATTGTTTTTTTTTTAGTTTATATTGCATTGTTGGTGGTTACCTATGTCAGATTTAATTGAACTTGGCAAAGAGGATACAAAATTTCAACAGTATGTCATTATTACTATAATGCATTATCTTTGACCTACATAAACAAAATATCTATTCAGTACACAATTTTTAATAATAATAATACTCTCAACTTACTGTATGTAATCAGAATTTCCACCAGCAATAAAGAGAACTGGACCATCATAATGTAAATCATCGACCACAGGAAAGTTTGCTATATTATTGAAATTTTTCAATAAAACTGGAATATTAATCCTCCAATTATAACTACAAGAATATATTATAGATATGTATTGACGAAATGCATCTTACAAACCTGCCATTATTTTTCTGAACCAAATTTGTCAACAAGAAGGATCTCAAGGACTTATCGTGAATATGCTTTGCCAACTGTTCTTCAACAAAAGTCCTCGCCTTTGACATAGGCATCTCTGAAGGCAATATTATTGATTCTAGTATTTGAAACAGATGTGGCATACTATCCATACTTGGACTAGTTCTGACAGGTGAAATATCAACAACTACTAACCTTTCGACCAACTCAGGCTAAAATATTTCTATGTTCGCATTTATGGAGACAAATGGAAAACTTTACAACCTACATATTTCAGAGCAAATAACATGACAGCTCTGCCTCCCATGGAATGTCCCATTAAGGCGCCTTTTTTCAAGTTCAGTTGGTCAAACAATGCTTTGATATCATTTGATAAATATGTGTAAGTATGATTTTCACTGTGAGGACTGTCCCCATGATTTCTTGCATCCATTGCAATTATTTTTCTTGTTGGGTCGAATTTTTGATGGTATGCTTTGCATAAGCTGTTCCAGTTGGATTTTGAGCCAAAAAGACCGTGCATTATCAACAGAGGGCTTGCTTGATTGATTATATCTAAACCGGTGCTCTCATAAGTAGCATAGGCCATTTTGACAGGTTCCAATGCTTCCGAACTGGATACATTTCTGAAAATCTGGTGGGTTCTTTTGGAAAGTATTAAATTGATATTCCTTGAAAACATGTTATTATATAACCCCCTAACTAATTTAGCACATTCACTTTTTTATTTTCAACTTAAAAAAATAACCTTCGCAGATAACCTCTTCATCTGTAGGAGAAGAAGAAAGTCACAAGTGGTTCTTCTTCTTCTTTTCCATTAATGGATTCAGCTGCCAGGGCTATCCAGCCAGGTGTTCCAGAATTATGTTGTTTCTACAGGTAGGTAGGTAGGCAGGTACTACAGGTAGGTAGTACACACTGAAGTGGATATGAGTCGGACCCAAACCCCACCTGGGTTTGCGCTAAAACAAAGTTCAACTGTAATTTGAAGTCAATAAACAAGCAATGTCCGACTGCACTAGAGTGTAAGCACTAATGTGACGTGATGCACTACAAGTGGTTTGTGGTCACATGAGAAACGCAATCGAATATCTACAAGATACAGAAGATTTATCTTTCTTTTGTCTTTGTATGGCCTTTGTAGATCTGATCTCTTCAGCATGTGAATGCTGAAATGCGATTTTGTTTCAGAAATTATTACAGACCACGTGGGGTAATTCTGATGGTGCCAATAGTCAACATTTCTTAATTTTTTTCGGAATGTATTGATATTTTCGTGTTTGATTATTTGAGATTCCTTAATCACAATAATATTCGAATGCCCATTTTTTCTCAATTCATTAACCAATATTTGTGCTATCGATGATACAGGTCTAACACAATACTGTGGTACAAGGAAAAGCTTTAGTATTTTCAAGGCCTATTGACGTACTCGCTTACGTCACCAGATGATTCTCCTGTGATTGGATCGAACTGATTATAATAGACCTTCCTGATTGAAAAATTTAGTTTTCTTGAGAAAAGTTCACTGTCCGTGATCCATGATGAATCATGACATATGTCTATGTGATAAAAATATTTTGAAAATTTGATTATTTGATGATTTGAAAATTTTAGGGACAGAAGCTGAATGTTATGATTAATTGAAGACTGGAAGGTTTTACCGTTTTACTGTTTCACATTTCATTTATGCCCAAAACGTAAACGTTTGCATACCTCTAAAATGGTTTAGGAATTTTATTGATTAGTCTTCATTATTGATATAAAAAATCTAATATCAAAAACAACCATGAATTTCATTTTCTGCTTACTGACGTGTTAAATATGGATTCTGGCAATATTGAAGCTTCTACCATTGACAATATTTATCCAGCATTAACACAATGTTTTGCAATAATAATATGTGGGTGAGCACAATTTTTCAATGTTTTTTTTTTTTACTTCAGTTCACTGTTGTTTTAATTCAATTTCTGCTAGAGAAACTTTCCATTTGACTAATGATAAATGTATTGGCCTGTGTCAGGTATTTTGCAGGTCGCATGAATCTTATATCAGAAACAGAAGCAAAAGGCATAAGCATATTTGTTGGCACATTTTCCTTGCCCGCATTAATCTTTATGTCACTAGCGGAACTAGACCTTAGCCAGATTAATTGGTTATTTCTTTTATCCATACTTATATCAAAAAGTATTGTATTTTTTTCTGTGATCGCTGTTACTTTATTAGTTGGGAGACCATTGAAGTTTGGGAGAGCAGGTATATTTGCAATTTTTTGCACCCAGAGCAATGACTTCGCTATTGGATATCCTATTGGTAAGTTGACTATATGGATAGAATTGAAACCTCTGATTGAAAATACAGAACAAAACTGTTATCCTGACCCAGAATTTTTGTGCTAGAGAGGAAAAATTGTTTTCAATAGATTAAGTTAGCATCATCAGGAGATAAATGTAACTAAAATTCAATCATATGCTGATGATACTATCTTGGTAAGCAAAACACACGTTGAGAGGAAGTTCTAGTTCTGGTGTTGAAAAATTTTTTCATTAAAATCTACAAAGGTGGTCCCAGAAGTATCTGGCCTGATTTAGAGATGGCAGTAATTGTTTGAAAAATATCACTGTATTAGAAATTACACACTCTATAAAGCATATTTTCAAGTTTGAAGACTCTGTGCTGGTTAGTATTTGTTTGGCAGCCATCAATAGCGAATGTTTTCAGTGAATTTGTGAAAATGGAGAAAATTGGTCAATTGTTATGTGGTACAATACTTTTATTTGAAAGGCCTCAGCCCAAACAATATAAAAGCTGAACTCGATTCTACTCTGGGCGAGTCTGGTCCTTCGTTAACAACAATAAAATATTGAGTAGCAGACTTTAAACACGGCCATACGATCTGCCAAAACGAGCATAGCAGTGGTCGACCGAATGAGGTGAGGACTCCAGAAATGTTGAAGACAATCCACAAACCGGTACTGAATGATCGTCTACTGAAAGTGTGCGAGCTAGCAGGCTTAGAAGTCATTTCAAAAAATGTGTTATACACTATATATTATCTGAAAATTTGTTACAAGATGGGAGCCGTGTTTGCTCGAGCAAAAACAGTGTGGTGAAGATGTTTCAGTTGAGTGTTTAGTGAAAGTTCACAACAGAATTTTTGCGTCGTTTCATAACCATGGATGAAACATATGTCCATCACTTCACACCTGAGACGAAAGAACAATCAAAACAGTGACTTAAAAGGGAGAATCTGCTCCAAAGAAGGCGAAGACCGTTTCATCTGCAGGCAAGCTCATGACATCTGTTTATTTGAGATGTGCGTGGGATAATTTTCATTGACTATCTTAACATAGGTAAAACTATCATCGACGAGTTTTATGAGAACTTATTGCTATGTTTGAATGAAGAAATTGAGCAAACATGGCCACGTTTGGCTAAGAAAAAAGTGTTGTTTCATCAAAACAATGCACCAGCTCACAAATCTATATTGCAGTGATCAAAATTTAATGAATTTAGGTTTGAATTTCTACCTCATGGTCCCTATTAGTCAGATTTAGCCACCTAGGATTATTTTTTGTTCCCAAACTTGAAACAATGGCTCAGTGGTCAAAGATTTTCCAACGATGAAGAAGTGATGTCCGCAGTTAATGGCTATTTTGAGGAGCAAGACAGTTCTTATTATAAAAACGCTATTGAACTTATTGAACGTCGCTGGTAAAAGTGTATAGAGCTGCAAGGAGATTATATTTTTCCAAAATTTTTGGGTTTTCTTTGTTGGGCCAGGTACTTCTGGGACCACCCTTGTATTACCAAGTAAATTTTCAGAGTCGTTGGGGCAACATATTTCATACATTTTTGTAAAAAGTTAGTAGATATCCTTTATTGAATTTTGATCTTGTAACACCTCAACTCAACAACTGAATGAATGAAATAAGTGAAATTATGCAAATAGCTCTTGAAATAAATAATCTTGCTAATTGAATATACTGTTAGAGTGAAATGATACTGTACTTTCAGTTGCAGCGTTATATAAATCTACGCATCCTGAATATGCAACTTACTTATATCTGATGGCTCCAATAAGCTTGGTCATTTTAAATCCCATCTCATTTATTTTATTTGAAATTAATTCACGCCAGAATGGAAGCACAGAAGATATGTTGATAAATGATGGGCATCTGTCCAGTCCAGAGGCCCGAGGAGGACGATGTAAAATGGTTGTGTCTGTAGCAAAAGGTGTTTTCTTAAATCCGATTGTTTTCATGACGTTATTGGGTGTTCTAGGAAACATTATATTCAGGCACAAGATACCATTGTTTTTTGGAGGTACCTTACAGGTGAACATTTTTGCTAAATATTCGAATTATATCAAGACATGTTTAATCAATTATCGATTTTAGGTACTGGGATCTGCTTTTTCAGCAAGTGCCTTATTCTTACTTGGTTTACGGATGGTTGGAAAGGTTCACAAATTAAGAGGAATAACACTAGTTGTTCCAGGAATATTGATTATGGTCAAATTGTAAGATATCTTTTGAATGGTTTTAACACGTTTTTAGATACGCTCTGCAGTGGGGTGCTTTAGGAGATTTGAGTCCTCTAAAATGACACCTCATTTTGAGATGTGTGTTCAGGTGCCAAAGTATTTACGACTCAGAGCTAACTTGGAGATAACAAACCGGAAATAGCTTTGTCACAGATTTTTTCCATGATCACAATTTATTTTCCAATTTGGATAAAATAGTCATAATCGACAGAATAGAAGTTTCTTTGGTTGTTAATGTGATATATTCAAAACCCAATGATAGTGTTACATTCTGGAGAATTCTTAACAAAAGCTTTAACTAGAATACTCATTGCCAACATTTGATTTGTAAATTCAACTCACTGAAATTTAAGTAAGGACCCTGAAATCTCCCCTCACAAGGACGCCATCTATGGGTTCGACAGACAACTCGATCCTCGAATATCAGAGATACACGAGGCTATCCATTTGCAAATCCAAGCTTCAACATAGATCGCCGACAAGATTTGTTCTGTCTTTCACGGCAAGGCAAACTAGTTGTGAACTAGAGTCCAACCACAACGCATTTATGATTCAACACCAGACTGCCCTGTTTCGTCCCGTCATAGGTCTCATCAGTGGTGCTAGGCTGAATTTGTGGTTATATTATTTTCATTACTTGAAAATACATTTCACCTTGTATCACAATGTCTCAAGCTAAAAATCTTTAAAGATCTCCATATCTTCACACACATCAAATCAAAATACATTTTATGGAAAGATTCTTCAGGGCAGTAAAAATTGGTACAAAACGATAAATTAACCAGATAATTTGGTAAAAAGAAGGAAAAACGTGTACGAATTTTTTGTTTGACAAATTTGATTGGTCAAATGAATATTGCAACAATAACTTCACGGAATTCTGTTTACCTCGGGTACTCCTTTGTCTAAAATCGACTCTGTTACTTAAACCCTCTATAAATTTACCTTAGATTGAATTCCAATTTCCATTCATCATACTTTTTTTATCAGGTTTATAAAGTTGTAATAGTATTAAAAGGTGTTACTAAATCGAGTGAGGCCTTCCTCGATTAGGGTCTATTGTGTATTACATTGTTTGAAGATCGTTAACAATTGGCTATTTCAGTATTTCTCATAATTTTGGTAACCCAAGTGGTTGGCGCCTTCAGTAATTAAATACACGACAGTGAAGATGTTGACCCCTCATGTTTTTCAAAAAGTTCATAACCAATTACTCAAGTAAACAATGATTAACAATCTCAAAAAATACAATACAACAAAATTCATTCACTATATTTTCAGGATCGTTTTGCCATTGGTAACTAGAGAAGTAATCAGTACTTTACATGTAGGTTACAATGAATCTGAAAACATAGATCTTAGTACATATGGTTTTTTGTATGGAACTTTTCCATCTGCTCCAACAGTTTTTGTTTTTGCTACACAATATGCTATAGATGTAGATCTGGTGAGTAAAATAATCACAATATCTAAATGGATTTTTAAAATGTTTCTTAATTTGCAGATTGCCAGCGCTATGGTTGTTTGTACATTTGTTAGTGCTCCTTTGATGTTTGTCTCGGCAAAGATGATTACTCTCACTGACTGTAATCCTTCTGAGTACATAAAACAACTTGATTCGTTCACTCTCGATATAAGTATAGCAGGGCTCATTGCTTCCTTTTGGGTGATTTTTGTTTTTACTATTACCAAAAAGATTTCAAGAGTACCTCATAAGATTACCACTTGCTTAGTGATATCACAGGTGAGTTAACAAATTCAATACTTTGAATTGTTTTCGTCTTCAGCAACATTGCAACCTACCAATTCATATCAATATTGTATTCATCAATGATAATAATTAAACAATGGTGTTAGCGTTTCGCTTACACCAAAGCTTCCTTGGTAGAAATTTGCTTTCTCAAGCAAATCCCCTTGAGAAAGCTATTGTATATCAAAACACCTGTTGCAGTTTTGTAGACCTTTTATAGTGAGAATCAATATAAACTTTATAAGTAAGTTTTGACATGGATTCATATCAAGTATCGGCCAGTTCCTATCAATCTTTTTACCTAAGAAACCCACCTTCGGAAAAACAATGTTATTGTTTAATTATTGCTATTTCCAGGTTGAGTTGAAAAACAGCCTTGGCTGATACTCCGCCTATTCACCTTTATACTGAAAGTTGTTTACTTTTTCCTTTTTTTATGTTTTGGTGTACTTTTATGGTAAATATAGACGTATTATTATTGTTATTATTATATATGGAATACAGTGTATTATGTATGGAATACAGTGTTACGGTAATGCAGTATCTACACATATTACGAGAATTTTCACATTGCAGAAAGCGGCAATAAGATCTATTTTAAATGTACCATGGGATAAACTTTATTGTTGAAGATGAAATCTCATTGACAAAAGTCTTAGGCTGTTGCGGCAGTATTTGCAAGGTGCTTGACCTTATCCGGCATGAAGATTTTACCAATCGAGCTCAGCGTAATGACTTATCAGACTTCCTTCATTTGTGACTCTCCAACTTTCTCAGATGACTACTTACGAGTAGTCATCATTAGTTCTCTCTCGCATACCTCTACCATCAACGATGGTGTACTGCAGAAATCCATATTGTTTTCAATTATTTTAGTGTTCTGATGTTGATTTTATTTATTTATTTTTATTTATTTTATTTTATGAGTTTATGAATATTTACTGCAAGCACAATTGCCATATTTTAATATTATCATACGAATTCGCGACTGTATTGCACATTTTGAATATTGCTCACCTTTGCCGAATATGTTTGACATGGAAAAATTGTTGTACTACAGAAGTTGCTAAAACGAGACGTAATATTGAGTTGTGCTAGACTCCAAACGCAAGACTGGATACCAATTGAAAAAAACTCGCTTTCTGGCTATGGCTTGTATTTATAAAATGATCAATAATGTATTGCAAAGTCATTTGGAAGAGTATGTAGTTTGAAATAATCAAATTCACTACCAGTATATTAGAAATAGACAACAGAATAGTTGCTAAAGTTAGGTCATTTACAAAAGCCTAAAAACTTTTAAGGTTCCAAAAATTTTAATAGTTCACGTGATAAGTGCTGCTTGCTAACCTGACTCCACATTACCATTATTCGATTGAACACATAAAAAAATCCTAGATAATTTGAGTATTTATTCAAATTATTGCTCATCCATAAAGCTCCATGCGAATATAATTTGTTTTGTTGTTAATTTATGCTGCTGCTTTGAATTTATAAATTAATTTCTAGTTGAGTAAAATAAATTTATAAACGACTTTGTAAAACTTCATGGGATTGAGAAAAATATCTTGCATGAGAGGTTTTTTTAAGAACAATATTGTTTGTGGGCTATTGGCATGAATATAACTGACATTGACTACAATCGTAATTGAAAGATATACCTCAATTTTTTTCAGCTTATAGGATGTTTAGGGGCAATTTTATGGAACACTCTCGACCAAAAAGAAGGGTGGTCAGGATATATACAGTTCACCTTGTTCATTTTAGGAGTATACAGTTGTAGATTGTGGACTATGATACTAGCTATAACATTGCTGTTTTTACAGTGTAGGAGTTTGTGCTACATACTGAAGCTCCAGTCGGTGTTTTTTGTAATTGGTTGGGGGTAAGAAATTTCTTTTTTTACTCTTTTTTCAAATTTGATGTTATAAATCATTGAAATATATCATTTGCAATGTTCATACACTTCAACAGAAAGTTCAATATTCAGTAATGTTTTCATTTAAATCACTTTAAACATCACACAGATAGTTTTCTATAAGCAATAAGAAATCCTCTAGTGACTTCTGAGAACTAAGAATGGATGATGTTTCACATTGTGTGATCCCAAGCCAGAATGATTCGATGTGTTCTTAATATGAGGTCAGACATCTGAGCAATGCACGTGAAACTCTTGTTCAGAGTATACCAAGTGGAAACGAGTTAAAATGAAGATTTTTTAAATCTGTGGAATGGAACTAACCATTAACTACCATACATTTCGCACCTAATACCTTATAGTGAGCTTCATACAAAATGTAACCATTTCAAACAAGACACACTATGATTGCTCGTTAGTTTTGTATATTTCCACTTTGTTGGCACTATTACAGTACATAATGTCTGTATATACTCAGTTTGGTCAGTGTGTTACTCAGTTTGGTAAATCTAAGGGTAAAACAAGGAGAAACAAGGAATGATGAAACTGTCTTCATGGAAAATGTGCACTCAACAAACTATGGATACAATAGTTCATCATCGATTGTTCTAAGAGAGGTCAATGAGTCAAATCTGAATTTTTTCTCAATTCTTTGGAATCATTCAAACTTACATATAGGAAAGCTGGAGAGTAATGAGTTTACTGATAATTTAGTTTTTAGAATACTATTCATAGTGTGGGTCTTGATCAATTAATAAAAAAATGTAATATAATATTATGATTATGGTTGTTATCCCGTTTATACCAGTAAATATGTAATTCAACCTTTGTGAAGCATCTTTATTATATGTCTTCGAGAAACACTGCAGCCCCATAGGCTTATTGTTTTTCCCTCCCATTATTTCATGACACCTGTTCTTAAAACCTTTTTATCTGTACTAGTGTATACATGTCCCTTAATGGCCCTTAAATTACTTGCATCCTGTGATCCAGAGCTCCACATGAAAAGCAATCCCTCTCCCTTTATTACAATGCAGGCAGCCAAATTTTTCGTTACACCTTCTCATTTTGTTCAGGTGTCCTCTATAAATGGACAGTGTCCAGCAAGTAGCAACTTAATTATTCTGACAATAAATTGATGGATGTAGCTGTTACTACGTGGTAAAAAATCATAATGAAGAAAAGAGAATCGAAACTTTCTATGTTTTTTACCACTTTTATTTGTAACTAACGTTACTGCAGTTTCGTCCTTTAAGGACATTTTCAAACTCATACATTTAACCCCTAGTTTAATGTACATACATAATGTATGTAGAAAGTTTCAATTCTCTTTTCTTCATAATTATTCTGATCTGATCCGTGCCCCTGTTGAAAAAGTTCTTCACTTATTTCTCAGAAGATGCTTTTATAGAGGTTTTTCTGTTAGCAGTGATGGTATTCCTAATTTTTCTCATTGATCCATCTTCTGGTCTGGTCTCATAACAAAAATCTTGGTAGGGGATACACAATCCTATCGGGCATGTCATGGGTTGACAGATTATTTATATAGCTAGTAGTAATCATTCCAATATTTTCATTAATAAGGTATTATGTTTCAGGTTTCCGGTTATTTTATCAATTCTGTTATTGATTTTTGAAAGTGAAAAAATTATTAATTCAGACAAGAGAAATCCGAATTTTGTATATGGAGTTTCGCAAGCTATCATATCAGTTACCCTCTTGGTGTTATGTTTTATTGGTGAGTGTATATTTTGTTTGAACTTCACAATTGAGTTGATGTTTAAAGGAACTCTGAAAAAGTAGTGTACAAAACTACATTCAATCGTTTACAAAACTAATGACTTCTAATAAGTTCTCAAGTAATTACTTTGAGAGTACTAATATTCCTTTTTCTATTGTTTATCATTAAATGCCCTGTCCAGATATACTAGTAACAGATATACTAGTAAGTAAGTAACTTAATTCATCAAGTACAAGCACAAATACACAAACATCCACAAATGCACATACCAAAACACACACACACACACACAGAAATTGCATATTCCAACAACCAATAATTAATATCCTGACGTGTTTTTTTTTCGATAACAATGAAGAATTGAATGAGGTATCAATTTTTTCTGTTACTTTTATTTCTGTGAATTTTCCGAACAATATTCAAAATTCCTCAGGAACTTCGTATCAGCTTCAAAGAGGACCTTTCCCAAAAATTAAATCTCCCCTGAAAATATACTCCTTTCAATTTAAACATAAAAGGCGATTTTGAGTAATATGAGTTATGGATGACCTACCTCAAAAGCAGACACCATACCTCAGTCTTGAATCAACTTGAGCATAACAGATGCTCGGTAAGATGTTGTCTTCCTCATGTCATACCCCTTTTTACACGCTTTATATCAGCTTCACCTGTATGTATGTATGTATGATTGTTTGTATGCATGTTTGTGTGCAACTCCCAAGATTGGGATCTGTATTGACATAATTATCGGCATTATTGCTTGATCTATTTGCGGGCAGATGGCGCTGTTCGTAACCTAATTGATATTTCTTGATCTATTCGCGGGCAGATGGCGCTGTACGTAACTATCAATTATTTCAATCAAATCAAAATGTACTTTATTGTTGAAGATGAAATCTCATTGACAAAGTGTTACTTATCTAAGAAATATCAGATACACAACTTCAAAGATATTGTCGAAGATAAAATATTATTGTCAAAGTGTTATTATTTTAAAGAATATAAGTTATATAAATTGAGGCTGAAAAAGTAGTCAGAAAGTGATAATATATATATATATGCTACATACTGAAATAAATAAAAATAATAATGAATAATCTCATGCAATACATAAATGTAAGTATGAGAATATAAAAACTATAAAGCATGGATAGAAAATAACAGTAAGAATCAACTTCGCTTGAGCTATTCGCGGGCAGATGGCGCTACACGTAACCTCCTTGATAGGTTGTTCAAAATAAAAAACCTATTTTAAGTGTTAGCGAAATTTTGTACTACAGATGAAATATTTAAAGAACATCAAACTAAAAAGTTAAAAATAATTTTTTTAAATAAGCATAAAACAATATAGATCGAAAAATACTAGTATTATTGTGAAAAAAGCGTGAGCGCTAGATGTACACAAAATATGGCAGAAAAGCGCCCACGCTTTCTTCACAATAATACTAGTATTTTTCGATCTTTATTGTTTTATGCTTATTTAAAGAAAATTATTTGTAACTTTTTAGTTCGATGTTCTTTAAAAGCGTGTTTTTTAGTTTTTTAAAACTATATTTATTTCCATAGTCATTTAAATTTCTTATGAATTTAATGTTTACATCTCTTCTAGTTACTGTTGGATGTTTGATTCTCCATCAAAGATACCGAAGACGTTTCATGACCTATATGGATTTGGCAGATGAAGTTGCCTCTGATCAGGATCAGACGCAGGCTATTTCCGAGGCAGAAACATTAACCAACACTGCTGTCATTAATAATCCAAGTACCAGTTCAGACAGTGGAGTTGTTGCTGGTAGGACACCTAAATGTTGTGGGCTACCTACTATTACTGAAGGTTGTTGCGAAGATAAGGAGAGTCCTGTAACAGATATAGAGGACATTCTAAGAGAATCTGGAAAGCACGAAAATGCAGAAGTCAAGGGATATTTGGCTGTGTTGAGAGATGCAGGGTGAGTCCTGAAATAAAATTGATGTGGTCATTTAGCAGCTTACATCCTCAATGCTTATACTTATGAATTTTTAAGAATTCCAAATAATTGAGTTTCCAACCCTTGCTTGCATAGTGCAAAATTTTCTTATTGTTTAGATTCGGGAAACTGTGGTTGCATTTCATATTCAGCATACCTTTTTGAAAAATTTCAACCACATTTCACTCGCACTTCAACAGAACATCATTTATTATATTTAATTTTCAGACTTGGTTCTTCAGATGATGGCCTTTGTTCATCGAGATTTGGGTGTACTGGTCCTAGACGAGAAGCCTGCTATGGCATTGTGCAACAATACCACCAGCAAATAGACGATGATCTTGAATTGATTGAAGAGGAACCTGAATCTCACGAACCTCAGATTTTAAGACACACCGTTTTGCTTATATTGCTTACATGCTCTATGTTTGTGGTGAGTATAAAACACATTAAATAAGACATTGCCACTTCTCTGAGACATTTCATCAACATGAATGCACAGCTACAATTTACTTCCTGCAAAAATCAATAAACTAACTAAATTATGAAAATAAACTTCTTATATTGAAAACAATATTGACAAATACAAAGATATATTTTAAACTTATATAATAGAAATGAAAAATTTATTCTAATGAAAAATGTACTGCAAATGCATTTTTTTAAATCAAATGTCAAATATTTTGGAAACTATGGCGAGATATGTAAAACTTGTGTGATATCAAATAGATCTAGACTTTTCGTAAATACTGAGCCTGTAATGAAATGTAGGATTTATTTAAAATAACAAAGAACATGAAACTAAACTACTAAGCATACTACCAAATTTTCATAATTTCCCTACTTATACTTTTCTTATATCTATTGATATAATTTGTATAGTTCAGGTTTTAATTAAATTCTTTTGTATAAAAAGTGTCAAATAACATTTTTTTTTCAATTTAAGGGATTGGCTTTATCTATCTGGACACTCGTCATGGAACAGATGTCTGGAATATATATTGAACTTTCTTTCTTGGATGCCACTTTAAATTTTGGTCAGAGCATTATAGTTTTTGCCATTTTCGGTTTGAATGCCAAAGAAATAGGACTTCCTCTGCTGAAATGCTGGAGAAAAATATGGTATGGTGCAAATACCTTGATTTTGCCCACTTGGCAAGAATTGAGTTCTGAAACAAAACATATCTGTGATCAGTTTGTAACTCATCATTTACAAAACAGTCGATCGGCCTTGGCCAGTGATAAAAGGTAGGAAATTAATTGAAGATTCATAAGCTTAAATTTCATAGAACTCTGTATATTTTAAAGGGTATAGAAGAATGCTTGGCTATAGACATGCTTCCGGTTTTTTTATTTTATTTTATTTATTAAGTAGGTAAGCCTAATATACAAAAAAAAAATTACAAATTCATAAATATCTCACGACATTAACTATGTAAATATAATAACATTTTAAAGTACCTTTCAAGGAAAACCAAATATACATACATATCAATAGATTGTTAGGTTAGTTCGCATTAAAAAATAAATAATTACAAATATCATAAGGAGCTGTCACTAATATACTTCTTTAATGATGACTTAAATTGGTTTATTGAATTAGATTCTTTTACAAATTGTGGTAGTTTATTAAATTCGTTTAAGCCTTTATGAAATATACTATTCATTCCAAATTTAGTGTTAGTTTTATTAATGTAAAAATTGTTATTTCTTCTCGTATTATAATCGTGAACTTCATTATTTCTCAATAAGAATTTTTGAAAGTAATTTAAATATAAAGATCATAGTCATATATAATATACGTTCTTCAACTGAAAACCAGTTTAGACACTGTAACATCGATTTAATTGCTGAGTAACGGCTACATCCCAATATTAATCACATGCCCCGATTTTGAAGCTTTTGCAATTGCGCTATTTTATTTTTACCAAGTAGAAAAAGTAATGTTGTACAATAATCAAAATGAGGTTGTATTAGGCTTTTAAAAATAGTCAACCTAGCATACATAGACACTTTTTTACATATACGAGAGAGAAAAAAAAGTTTTTTAGATATTTTTTTACAAATAAAATCAGCATGACTATTTATTTTTAAATTTTTATCAATTATAAAACCCAAATATTTTATTTCAGTCACGATTTCAATGCTAACATTATTAATTTTTATAACAGCATTTGCCCAAACAATTTGATCATACTTATAAGATGATGTCAAAAGCATACTTTTTGTTTTACTGACATTTAGTTTCAGTTTATTATTAAATAAATATGTTTCAATGCTATTTAAAGACCTATTCATTTCAGCAATTGGCTGATCCAAATCTTCATGTATACAATAAACCAAAGTATCATCTGCAAAAAGATTTATACAGTGTGATCCACATATGTGATTAATATCATTTAGGTAAATAATAAAAAGCAATGGACCTAACACACTACCCTGGGGTATGCCACTCTCAATTATAAGTTCATCTGACAATTCTTTTCCGAATTTAGTTTTTTGTCTTCTGTTGAATAAGTAACTTTGAATCCAATTGAAAACAATCCCTGATATCTCATAATATTTTAATTTTTCAAGTAAAATATTTCGGTCAATTGTTTCAAATGCCCTTTTAAGGTCGAGAAATGTCGCAACAATGTACTGATTTCTATCAATTGTATTTTTCCATTCAGTTATTAAAAATTATAGAGACGTTTCACATGAGTGTCTAGCTCTAAAACCTGATTGGTTGCCTATAAACAATTTATTGGTATTAAAGTACTGAATTATTGGTTATATAATTAGTTATGTTGAGTTATTCCTAAGTGTCTAAACTTTGCTTTATGAGGTTCAATTCAGACATTTTTTTTAATTTTTTCATAGAAATGTACTCGGCTGAAAAAATATAGTCGTTGGTCCAGAACTGAGGCTATCTTGTATACTGATAGTGTAATATTAATTCTCCGAGATGATTTGTTTTTTCTGTGTCAATCATTTATTGTAATGGATTGATTGAGATTAACCAATTCAAGAGAGCAATTGGACAAAATTATTGTGTATATTGCACTTTTTATGAAAAAGTTTGCCTTGTTCTGCATATCAACGTAATTGTGGAGAGTGGAGAAGGCGTAACAAATCTAGATAATTGTTTAGTTTTTCAATTTTTGGAAAAAAAGCTTTCATGTTCTTTTTATGTATATTGTTTATAATGCATCATTAAAGATTATATTTAATTTTTTGACTGAACCTCAAATGTGTTGTATCTTTGCAATCAATAGTTAACAATGTCAAAACAATAGTTGTGAAACAAGGTTCTAGATTTTTCAAATTATTACTGTTACGGAATTGCAATTTCAAAAACTAAAATCAGATTCGTTAATAACATTGATTTTTTTTACATATTTTATGTTTCTGTCTCTTTATCAATGTTGTCATGTCTGCCCTTCGTTCCCCGAACGTGTAAATGGCTTCGTACATGTTATTTAGTTCATTAAAAACAAATTGAAAATTGAATAATTTTTTTGACAGATGGAGGCTGAAAATTTATAAAAATGTATTTTCTGGTGAACAATTCGTGGATTGGCTTATAGAGGTGGGTTTGGCAAGAGATAGAGTTGAAGCAGTAAATTATGCTAGACATCTCATCGAAGGTAAGGTTTTGAAACATATTAATGGCGTTTATCATTTTTATGACAGAAATTTACTATACACCTTTGAGTAGGATGGGTTAATAAGTTCTTTATTCAATTTAATTGTAGTTCATACTATTACTTGCCGATTCTGCAATTAGTAATTACATTTTGCCTCATGACAAAAAATATTGATTTCAATATTTTATTTCATAGACTTTTATAGTTAATGACATTTCAAAATATTTATTTTGAAGGCACTATGAATGCTAAGACATACTTTTGTTTTCATTTGGCTGTTTTTATTAATTTTAACTTACCCTTTGTTATGCCTTTAGGTACTCTTGGAAAATTTCATGATTGGCCTTCCAATTTATATTATTCTGTTAACTTTGAAGTTATTGAAATATTAGCAGTGGCCATAAATAAATTATTGAAATAGCAAAATTTGCAAGTAATGGAATTATAGAATTCTTGGGATTTTTTGCTTTTGAACTTCTTTTAGGTGATTCATCCTATGTTAAGGATTCGGTTTTCTTTTTGTTTCAACAGTAGACTCAGTTGTTGTGAATTTTAGAGTTTATATTGTTCCTTTTACAGTTATTTATGAAATACCAAAATATATTGTGTAATAAATTGAAAATAAGCTGTAGTATTCCCAAAATTTAAATAAAGGAGAAATACTGGATTTATTTCTGTCGACTGAAAATATATTCGAAGTGGATACAATCTGAAGATATGTGATGAAAGTAGAATTTCAAATGTATAAGTCAAATGGAATCTGAATCATTGATTGCCAGTATGTTTTATACGTGATTGTGGTAACATTTCTCTCGTTTTCTTTCTCTTACTATCAAACTCAACTACTATGTTGTGTCCAGTTTACCAAATAAATATGAAATAAAACAGTATTTCCCTGCTAATATTTTTCTAATAGCAGAATATATTTTGGGAACAACTATTTTCACAAAAGTTGTACATATTATTTATTGAATGGTGTATGGTTTATTTTCCAAATCATAATTTTAAATTTTACATATAGGTTATTTTGGACACCTCGAATGTGATATAATAATTCAAGTTACCATTTGTTACATAGTGTGCGTGTATGAATTTATGTATGTGTGTATTTATACAAAGATGAAGATAACAGAGGGGTTCTCAGTCAGAAGTTCAGAGAAAAACTATTCTTTACTCTTCTTCTTTACCCTAAAGAGCTTTCAACAATGTTTACGGCCTGAATCAGGTAGTAAAATGAGTTGAAACAACGACAATAATAAAATATAAAAAATGTAGTACATTTTAAATTTGAATCACTGAAGATACTGAGAGACTGAAAATATTGTCTAAAGCTCGGTAGAGTAAAAGAGAAATTTTCTCAGAACACCCGACTGAGTACGTGTTGTCTTCATTTATATATATATATATTTTGCTATATACATTAGTATCCTTTCTTTTTATCTTTTACTATTTCGTACAATTCATTTATAAATACGAAATGAATCATCTAACATTCAAAATCCTTCGTTCAACTTTATATATAACTTATCAGACATGACTTGATTAGAATGTGAGGGTTGTGGTTATTCGTTATATCTTTTCCTGTGAATTAATTGGTAATAAAGGCAATAAATATTATTATTATTGCATTTATTGACTTGTTTTTAGACATGTTTACCTTTGACTATTGGAAAAATTAAATATTATAATGGAGAACTTTATGTAATTAAATAGCTAATCTACATGGAGAAATGTAATGAGATTATATGAATATGCAAATATATGTTTATTATGAATGAAATGTAAATAAATCAACAACTGTTTCTTATTATATCAGTTAACTTGAAAATATGGACTGGACATTCATTGAACAATTCGAACAACTAAAAAACTTTGAGCCATGTACTTATTTGGGGTGGCTTAGATGCATTTAGCACATTTCTTACAGAAATCTTGAGATTCTAATTTGTAGGAGAGTTTTCAAAAAGCGTGCTTTCCGAGTATTTCTGTATTTATAGACTTTTTGAAAATACTGGTTTATCATTTTTCACGTAATGTTCGAATTTTAAAAAAATTATGCATTTCATGTTTTTTCAAAGCAAAGCAATAGCAAAGTTTCAGTGACTAGTATGTTAAATAGTAATATAAGACAAGTTGGCACATTACATTTTCATGTTTTTCATATAGCGACTATTTCTTGATAAGTACTGCTCAAGAATAAGAGTTTATGTCGAATCTAACATTCTGGTAGTAAAATGGCTCTTAAAATAAGTAACTATATCGCAAGAGTTCATTGTGTTTTATTTTTCATTGTCTCACTATACTTTGTCAGTTGTTTTCAGAAGTGAAATTAAACTATTCAACTTGAAGATATTCTAACTTTTGTTATGTGTAACAATTAAAAAAATGTATATTCGTGGTGGAATTTACATTTTAATATTGTTTCAGCAGTGAAAAAATGTTGAGCTCTCAGTTTGGTAGACACACTGACAATGTATATATTTTTGAACACTTGAATAAATCAAATTGATAATAACTGAAACTGCCTTCAATTTGCAAAATTATGTTCCTGGGGTTCATAACATAAAAATAAAGTATGTTATATAAGAAATGAATTCTTGATTAAAAAACGAAATCATTCAAGGCAAATAACAGTATCCAATGTGTTTCATAATATGAGCTCTAATTATTCCACACATATTACTGATGAGATACCAACATGGTCTTCTATTGTTTGTGTAACCTACTGGCGAGTGTAAATAAAAGTTATGTAAAGGCCAGTCCATATTCTTAAGTCTGTGGGTATATTCTGTTCAAGGGAAAATGTAGCACTATTTTAAGTCAAATTACTATTTTATTTTACGGCTCACTTCCTATTTGGGCATTACCAATACACTAAGTATCAGTAAGAAGAGTCTTGCCATTTGAACTTCTTAAAAAGTTTTTTTTTATGTAATCTGACAACGCCATTTTAATTTTTCAACTGGGTTTGACATATAATTTCATGCTTTTTCAAAAGGAAAATTTAGATTGTTGGCGTGCTGAATTTACCAAACACCAGAACACATGAACTTATATAAGAATGCTTAATCTGATACAGGTCAAATACACTAATCCTTATAATTGTTAAGTTTGTAAATATTGTTCTGATGTTGAAATTTAAAGTATATAAATTTATATTAGTTGTTGATTAATTTGAAACGAGCTGTACTTGGATCAATATTGGAAAACCCAATAACTCTAAAGATATTTACTTGTATACCCTTGTATTTTAATCAATTAACCATTTTTGTATGTATTGAGTGAGGCTTTCGATAATACATTGTTGCTATTTTTTAGAATTGTTAGTAATTCTCTATTTATGTAAGTATTCATCAACCACTCGGATTTTGAAACCACTGAGAATATATTTTCTCCAAAAATAATAATACAATCCTTGTTTTGTTTTCCTAGTCGGGGCATACTGTACAATAGTCGTTTTTACGTAAGATCAATAAAAAACTTCAAGAATACTGTTAGTGATGTTAGTTGTTTATATGTTCTTAATGATTAGCTGGATGAACAAGAAATAGTTCATATTTCGTAGATTTCTGTATCATCTATTGAATTCTACCCTTTGATAAGTACTGATTTCTGGAATTTTCTGTCAATAAAAGTCGTTATTATTATCATTTTCATTATTGGAGTCATGTAACAATTATGAAACATTACTCATATGATCACTAGTCTTGATTCATCGCCAAACTCAATATGCCTAACTACATCTTATAGGTATTAACTATTGAAATATTCTGAAATAGGATTTATCTTTAAAAAGAGAAATCTTGAGTCAAAATTCACGAATTCACCATGGAAATTATTGTTTTTTATTGATTGAGTTTTTCCACACCTTTATAAAGCTGCATATAGTTGACAGCCATCTACTACATGCAAAATTTTAATAGGCTGAAAGAGACAATATAGGACTTAGACTTGCTCGATGAGTTTGCTTTTTAATATACAAAGTCATTTTGATGTACTTAGAATATAATAAAGACTAGTTTCTTCATTTTCATTACAGATTTAAAGGTATTTATCGAATAAATTCAATAAAGTTGTGCTTTAATATATGTTTGTTTTTTTTTAATTCCCTTATTCCTCTAACGAATGAATGAACGTTTAATGAATCCACCTTGCGTTTTAATGGTTGCTATCCCATCATCTCAAAGGTTGATTGCTATTTGCAACGCTGTTGTAACTCTGCATGTAATTAAGGGACCAAAAATTCTTTAGATTCTCAGTGATACTTGTGTAGTCTGGACAACAAATACTTTTATATGAACACTGAATTATATAGAAGACATTACTCTCTACTCAGTTTGTATTCCAAACATTCGTTATGGAATAAAATCAGGTATCATTCATAGGAGTTCTACACTAAATGAATGGTAAAAAATTGCACTAAGACTCACTGGTAAACATCGATGTTTCGCCTTAAGACACTTGCCTTAGGGTTCTTCAGTACCAAATTGGATAACATTATAGAAATTAATGAATACACACAATTCATTCATTAATTACGATATTTATGTCACGGAATAAGTTTCATTTACTTATATCATCGATGACATCGTAATGATATTCATTCACCTATTTTAAAGTAGCTGTTTCAGGAGGACTTTTTTTCTTCTTCGAGTTTGTGTCTGAAAGTTACTTCTTTGCATGATCTACACATCCATATATAGAGTTACTTATTTCAAAAACTAGTCACTCCTAAAAATATAACCCTTTCTATTTAATTAAGTACCTATTGTGATATTAGGTAACAACTTAAATAAGTAATTTTATGTTTAATGTTTCTGAAATACCATTAATAATATTCAAAAGAAGAATTTACACCTACTCAAATAAACACCTCACCTATTTCTGAGTATTTTTAAGGTGCAATTAATATTTTTTTTAAAATAAGGGGTTGTTATGTTGATTACCAATAAGTGCAAAAGTCGAAGACTGCATAACGTTTTGATTTAAAGATAAAAAAATAAAGACTGACTGATTATAATAACGTTTTCTTTATTTTTCCCCTCAAAACATAATCCTTGTAAGGAAGTTTCGGTTTCGGCCGAAACTGAGACCGTTGCCGAAATTCGGTTTCGGTCGTAAACACCAGTTTCGGTCGGACACTAAATTACATGAAAGAAAAATACTTTCTTTCAAAACAAATACTTTTATATGAACTCTGAATTATACAGAAAATACTTTTCTATATTCAGTTTGTATTCCAAAGATTCGTTATGGAATTGAATCAGATACAGGCGCTCTAAGAGCGGTGCCTGTACGAAAGTAGCGATTCACATTGGATTTGAATCGCTGGAGATTAAATCCGTTTGGAAAAACGTTCTAGGAAATTTATTCCACATAAACACAGTTCTCCAAATGAAAGTGCCTAAACAGTGAAGTTCGAGGTGTACTGAGTTGAACCTTAAAACGATGAGCAGCCACAGTCCGTCGCGTATTTCTGATATGTACTGCTCTTGGTGGAATCAAATGTGCAAAGTCACCTGAACACATTCCGCGAAAGTATCAATAGAAGAGAGACAAATCCCCAATCTTTCTTCGTATTTCAGACTATCAAGGTTGCAAGTGATGTTCGCGTCTCCAATAAGGTGGATGGTTCTTTTCTGGATGGAATCCAGTAGCTTCAGGGTATGTTTGGGGCGGAGCTCCATACATGAGAACAATACTCCAAAAGAAGGTCTGATCTGAGCTGTATAAAGCGTCAGCCTTATCAGCTCTGTAGTCACGAATCTGAATAACGTAAAAAAACGCTCAATTAATTCATAAAATCATGACTTTGTCACCGAATGAGTTCCATTTACTCATGTCATCAATGACAGTACGTAATAACATTCATTCGCTCATTTCAATAAATCCCAGTCAAAAGAATATTGTTTAAATTGAAAGGGATATATTTTCAAGAAAGATTAATTTTTGTGAAAAAAAGGTTTTGGTTTTCTACTTCTCGATCTTGATACATTTTTTTATTCAAGAAAAAGGTAAATAAGTGGGCCATTGAAGTAGTTGGCATTCTCCATTTTCATTGATTTCTATTAATTGATCAATAATATAAATTATGACACTGAAAATACACAGACCATCTTAATATAAATATTTATTCATGTGATGTACGTTTTTAATACTTCTATAATTAGAGGTAGCATACGACACTTAGAACTTAATTATAAATAGATACAGCATGACAGTAATATCTAGACAACTCAAAAATGAATCAACTGAAAAATCATTATATACAATGAAAACAAAAACGTATGAGTTAAAACTATGTGCAGCCTTACAATAAACTAAAACATTTTCAACCAGGAGCTTGAGGAGAGAAATAAATACCTTTTTTCTCAAACAAGAAGTTAGCTATATTATATTTTTCTATACACCTTTGCTACCAGCATATGGGAGTGTCTAAAATAAATGAACGGATACTTTAAGGAAGTCTGCTCATTAAAATTCTATCTTTAATAACCACTGCTACTGTGGGATCAAAGAATTTGGTTTTATGCAAAATGAAATATAAAAGACCTTCGTATTCAAATTAGTTCTCGAGCAGTTACTTCATTAATGTTATAAAGTTATGTACACACTATTCATATCCACAAATTTCAAAATTTATCAAAGTAGTATATATAAAAAAAAAACAGAGATCAATATGAAGCTATAAAAGTTCCCATATTTGATTTGTTGCAATTTTTGAAAGATAAAAAGAAATTTTGAAGTTTTTTCAAAACAATGAGCTTCGGAAGTACTGGGTTTAGAAAAAAGTACTTATATTCTTTCTCAAGATTAAATTTGTGTCTGTATGTTTTACAGTCTCTCTTACATATATAAAACTAATCTATGTAAAACTAATCTCTTCCTACCATTAATTTCCTGTCACACTGAAGATAACTATTGAAGATTCACCTGACATTCCTGACTTCGAGAAGGCTATGTCGAATAAACCATTCGATATTTAAATTTGAAATCATCTGCTTTGTTAACATTAAACTGCCTAAAAGGCAGTTTTACTTCAGGTTGAATATTTTCAACGTATTTTGCTCACAAACTCTACTATCAATTTTGTTTTTGACTTGGATTATTTTCCAAATATTACTGATATCCATAACTTAAATTTATTGCGAGATCCTCGCTCAACAGTTTACAATACTGACAGGAGTTTTGTAAGGTGTTTATTGAAAAATCTGACAAATTGTTCCTTATATAAGAAAATATTACAGAATTCAGATTTATTGGAAAAATTAAAATTTGAAAAAGTGAAATATGTTTTTATATTTTTTGTTTTCATTCCATCATTATTTGAATTGAAAAGTTGTAATAAATATGGCAAGTTTTTAAAATCAACTTGTACATCGATGTACATCCAACCATTGGTAATAATAATTTGAGGTTATGGTCGTAGGAGCTTGCGAATCATTATATAGCTCTAAGGAAATAATCTTTCACATAATGTTCAATGGGTTACAGTTATCAATTTATATTATTTCCATATTATTAAGTGAAACGCGGAAATGAAATTATTTTTCAGTAAACATTAAAATAATGAAAGTTCAACTTCTACCTATCAGAGCAAAGCCATATAATAAAAACAATAATACCCTCTGAAAAAGCGTACATGAAGACTGGTGTACCTCAAGGCTCAATACTGTGTATATCATATATATATTTTTTGTGTATAGCCAAATGTGGCACAGTTTGGATTCATAGTCCTTAAATAAATTAATTCATAATTATGTAATTAGAAAATGGTGTGACTCAAATTAGCTTCCTTTTAATGTCTCGAAGACCAATAATGTCTCGTCAATAATGTCTCTGAGTCATCGATAGATTTTACGTTGATAATAAAAACTTGCCCATAGTCATCATAAGATGAGCACATTAAAATTACTAATAGAAGATTTCAAAAAAATATCCTGAATCTTCATTAACCTTTTTTTGGGGCAAGATTTTCACATTCCAAAATATGAACAAAAATCAAAATTGTAAAAGAGAACTTCATACAGGTGTAGATAAAGAACTGATTTCCTTCACAATAAATGACTTTTGTTCAATGTCATCCTGGAGTATTTGTGATAAACGTAAAAAGTTATTCACTCCTCACCGTCGAAATGTTAACTGGTCAATTTAAACTAGATGATTTCCTAAACATGAAAAAAATCATAAATTATATAATCTAATTACTATCTTTTCTTATTTTGGAAAGATCTAATTCTGAGTTAGCTGTTTTCCTATAACTTTATCAAACATTTGATTCAATCCTGCAATAGATTTTCAAGAGATTCTGCTATTACACTGGAGTCCTCATTATTCTTCAAATCTGATTGATCACATGTTTCCCCAACAATTTTTGTTAAATCATTTACAATGGTTTCCAACTCGTTGCTATTTGAGGTGTACCTTTCTTCACCAACACTTTGACTACTTGAATCTTTTATACACTGATCAGTAATTTTATTTTCCTCATTTTGGGCAATTTGTTCACTTATAACTTGTGCAATGTGAAATCCCACAGTGCCAGGCGATACACTATCTTGAATATAATCATCAATCAAAAAACCGTCACGAGAGAACTTCTCTTCAGGTGAATATTGAAATTCTGTTGTTGATGAGTCATTTTGACAGACGACTGAAGTAGTAGAAGCTGCAGTGGGATCAATTTCAACTAAAAGAGGGGATTGATCAAATTTCTGACAAGAAGGACCCACCTCAGTACAAGTGGAACTTGTGCTTTCATCATGATTCTCTTCATGGATAACTTGATAATCTTGTTTCCTCAAATCACTAACGATACTTTCTTCTTTCGAGAACACTCTGTGACAAAGTTCAGACTCAACTTTACAATTAATATTCAACTCCTCTGATTCATCAAAGTGTTCCAAAGTGACTCTGCCGATCATGGAATCTGTACCTTCTTCAGTTGATATTGTGTCTTTGGTGTCTATCAACTTTTTCGAAATTTGTTTCAATTGTAACTCCTTTAACGAATTATAGGTATCGCTTTCCCGAAAGGTATCACTTGATTGTTCGTGATCCAAAATATCTTCAGTTTCAGCTTCTTTTGAGGAGTTGCCGTAAACAGTTTCAGTTGAGTCTGAAAATTGTTTCACTACAAGATTTTCTAAAGAGTCAGATTTAAAACAATTCTCTTCAGTTTTATCTGGCAAATCATCTACATCTTTTTCATTCATTTGTAGGTTTGAAGAAACACTTTCCTTTTCACTATTATGTTTGTTGTTTTCTATATCCCCATGTTCCAAATCCTTTTTAGTTTTGTTCACTTGTTCTTGAGGATTTTCAATGACGTCATTATCGTCCTGTTCACTTATAATATTTGTTATTTGAAACGTCAATTCCTCGCACTCTTCAGCTGATGGACTTTCCTCTTTTTCAGTTATAACCTCACTTATATGAAACCCCAACGAGTTTTCATTGCTTTCAAGTACATTCTGTATAATATTCGAATGAATATCAGAGCTGTTTTGGTTAAAATTCAAAGGATCTTCTAGAGGATCGATGACTTTTTCTCCTTCTTTACCTTTTATTTCGGCTAAGTTTATGAGTTTGAGAGCATCTTCATTTTTTTCTGTAACACTTTCCACGTTCATGATTATTGGTTGTGAGATTAATCCAATTTTAGGGTATGCAACGGACGAATCAGTTTCTTTATTATCTGCATTTAGATTCACAATTGGACTATAATAATCTCCCATAATTTCTTCATCTTCAACTGTAATGTCATTTTCGCTGAAATCGACTAAATTATCTTCTATTTCAATAGCGTTTTCTTCAAGGTCTAACGGTTCCGCTTTAATTTCTTGTAGATGCATTAGTGGATCAGCCTGGTCTGTGTGAGGTTCACGAACAATTGTTGATTGGTCATAATTGCTATGGTAGAATTTTGGAACTTTGCGGTTAGGACGAGACCGAGTACCTTTTCTTGAAAGAACTGGCGGTGGAGACTGAAAAAAAAGGAAAATAATTTACACTCTTAATAAAAAAATACCTAAATATATAATAACTTATTCTTTTTTCTTCAAAAATGTTATGCTCAAAACTATGAATAGCACAAAATATTTAGTTATATACATAAACAGATCTGAAATTTGACGTCAATCAATCTTTTACTTCATTGTTAGGGAGAAGGTAACCAAGGCTACTGAAACTCATTTGTTCTTTGAAGTCAAGCAACAGTGACAGTGGATTGTGTTTGAGATTTCAAGAAGTCTTCTGAAATGCAGCTGCTTGGTAATTTAAACTAATAATATTGCAATATGATCAATAGTGGACACAGCAAAAGTCAAACTTTCAAGAAGTTAATTCTCATTTACCCTAAAAAAAGGTAAGTACTGATTTCAACAATGATTAAAGTCACAGTTTGAAATTACATATAGTTTAAAAGAGTTTTCAAAAATATTCATGATAAACAGCATATACATATTTATTTTTATTAAAAATTTTTGTGACAAATTTCAACTTAGTCAGCAGTTAAACGAATAACAGCGTTTATGTCTCAAGTAAGAAATGACTGAACTTCTAAACTTCTTGAAGGCTGTAATATTTTTAAGTTCTTTTGTTATAGAACTATATGCTTTCATTGCCTGATAGTAAGTAAGCTCTTTTCTTATAATATGTACAGTTATGGTGGGATAGCCAGTTCGTTACAATGCCTGGTATTAATATTCATATGATTAGAATATTGACTCCTATTTCTGGGAAACAGGTTAGAACAGTTTTCACAAAACAGATAAGACCCAAGAAGTACAACGAGGGCACAGTCATAATGTCAAGTTTATAAAACAACTCCTTACAAGAGGATACATCTCAAAATTCTTTTTTGAGTAATGAATATTTCAGGTGAGTATACTAAAGAATCTGCATGTTAAACAAATCTGTTTTTCCGTTAACCAGTTGTCGCCCCCCTTCGAACGAACAATCTCAAAAGTCAAAACTTGTGGGAGCCATGGACTAACGAGGTCTTACCTTTTAACGTGTGATTCCTAATACGGGTTGGACGATAGGAAGTGAAAATTGATCGTTTGGCCTTGCGGTTCGAACCATCAGTTCACACAACGGTGGATTGAGTGAGTGAAGCAAACCACCCATGTTAACCCACCAGGCTGCCGTCCCACCAATACCATATGATGAAATCGATAACTGCACGTAGGCATAGTAATATGGAGTTTCACATCTAGAGATTCCTCGTAGTTGATTGATTTGTTGAAAATTACAAGTTCTATTTTGGTGACATTTAGTTTGAGAATATTTGTGTATAAACATCTGACCATATGGCTGAAGAATATATCAGGAGTTAAGACTCCTGATATATTAGTTCATGTGATAATGACCGATGTGTAATCTGCAAACTGGTATACACTACCCAGATTCAAGGCTTTGGTTGAGTAATGGTTGAAGAATAGAGCCCTGAGGTACCCCCTGCCTAATTATGACTGTATTATATATTCGTTTCTCATGAAAAATAATGTACACTATCGAAAATGAGGTATAACAAAACAAGGTGAATCTGACTACAACCTAATCCCAGTATGTGGTAGGTTATTTAATCACCAGCAATTTTTTTTGGCATGCAGTTTATTTTTGATGTACATTCAATGCGTTAATATAATTATATCAGTGAAGAGTACTGTGTTTGAGTTTATTTCAAAAACACATTATTTGGACGATCTATATAAGTTGTTGCTCAAGTAGAAACCACCCAAGGCCAAAACAACACGACGGGTACGAGAGGCGATTAAAAATCTCAATACTGATAAGAATATCTTGTATTGCCTGCTGACGGCTTTCAAACCCGAAAAATAGTGACACTAATCTTTTTATACCAAAAATCCATAAAGAGAATCTACCACTTAGATCTATCTTAATGCAATAGGTTCAACAACTTATGAGTTGGCCAAATACTTGACACCCTACTGCGGCCGTTTATAGGAAATACAGAGTCAGTTATTAGGGACTCGCGATACTTTATCAAAAAAAAACAAAGAGATATGAAGTTGGGTCCTGGAGACATTCTAATGAGTTTCGATGTGGTATCCTCATACACGATGGTTCCGATCAAGGATGTGATACGGCTAATCAGCCGAAGCGTTCCCAGCAGATATGCCCGCCCTCTTTGCTCGTTCTTTATCATCAGATTATTTCCACTGGAATGGTGTTTTTTATGAACAAACGAATGATACCGTGATGGGTAGTCCCATGATGTCAGATTAGGTTATTCAACATTGATTGGTCATTTGACGATATCAAAGTCTCAAAAAGAAATATAAATAAATAATCAAAACATATACTTTTACGTACTTCTTCTCGCTCATCAGTAATTTTTCGCTTTTTGAGTTTCTTTGTCAAGCTTCTTCTCATAGGAATTGGTTTAGTATCCTTGGGTTTCATAGATATTGTGGAAGAAATAGGCTCTTTCGTCAATTCTTCATATACAGGTTCGAGCAAGTCTAAAGGATCAAAAAAATCATTGCCTGGTTTCTTAGTAACTTTTTCTGTTTTATCGATCCTTCTCACAGCTCTCCTTGAGCAGGTGTAATTTTTGGATGTTTTTGTACTCTGCAATATTGGCATTTCCGTGTGAGAACTTACTTTTGATAATTTTGCACTTTTGAGGACCGGCATCTCAGGAGGAGGTGCAGGTTGTGGCCTTTTTTTATCTTTGACTTCTTTAATTTCCTCCCTTTTCTTAAGATCCTCTCTTTTCTTCAAATCTTTATCGTCTTTCCTCTTGAGTTCTTTTACTTCTTTTTTCTTCATTTCTTCTTCTATTATTTCACTTTCATCTTTCCTCTCTTCTTTGATGGGTTTTCCAGGTTCAGTTTTTATATCATGCTCAGCATTATCTATGGTTCCAGCCAGACCTTTTATCTATAATGAAAAATAGAATGTTATACCGATTAATATGATCATTTTTCTTATAAACTATATAATCAATACGAATATTTGACAAATATTGGTATAAGCAGTTTAGATAGTCAGAACCCAGATCCTGATTGAATTAAAATAGGGGCTTAGTTAAGTGGTGAAACTCACGTTATGTATCATAAGTCGCTCAGATATCAGGGAATGAAATAGCACATACAATTGCGTCCAACTTTCACCTCTCTAAATATTATTATTGTCTGGTTTTTCTTCAATGATTCGTTTATTAAAAATAAAAGCAAAGAAACCTGAAATCCTCATAGATTTCAAAAATTTTCAGAGAACTAGACATTACAAAAGCAAAATCTCTCATCACCATTTGAGAAAAATGATAATGAATACATACTTTTAAGTTAAAGTTTCGTGTCATGATGTATGCTTTTCAGTTTTTAGAACCCTCCGTCATCCTCTCCAGAGATGAACCATTGAATATTTGCCTTTTCTGAATTTAATAGTGAAAAACTGCGAGCTCTCCTATCAAATTCAATAATTTTCTCTACCAAAACATAAAATTTTAGGTAAAATAAACGATGATCTAATGTTACTGATATTTTGAGGTGCTGAATTTGTATTTACGAAATCCTGAGTATTAATACCTTAAGTATTTCGGCAACAGCAAGAAGCTCTTCCAACTTAGTTTGCAGAATATGCACTTCACCGGAATACATAAAGTCACATAATGATTTCAGAATCCAAAACGGAACGTCCTTCATGAAGAGAACAGGATGTTGACTAGGATTGATGCTGGCAAGAATGTCTTCAAAGTATGGACTACATGACGATAAAATAACCTGAAACATATTCTAGTTGAAAGTCAAACAATAATATCATAACAAGTTTTCTAGAATATAAAATGAATATCCAAAGTAAAAAAAAAATGCCATTTGACAGATTTTTCATAAGAAACTAAAAAAAAAAACTAATTGAATTGATGATCTGTTAAGCCTAATTGTTTCCTAATTTTTATTTATTTTGTACAAGGTCTGTTCAAAAAATTAGGTGGATTTTCATTTTTTTCTCAAAAAATATTCATTTATTCATCAATTTCTAGTTTGTTCCCTTCGAAGTAGTCCCCCTCAGATATAACACTTGTGCCAGTGTTTTTTTCCTATCCTTGAAGTAATTTTTATCTCCTCGATCATCGCAAAACGCCATCCTTTCATGGGTCTCTTCATTCTTGAGAACAGAAAAAAAGGAAAAGTCGTAGGGGGCCCAAAATTGCAACTTGCAACTTCTCTAATAGTGATTCGATGATTCTCCATAACAATTTATTTCACTGTTTCAACATTTTCATCGATTGTTGATGTTCTGGGACGTTGACTTTCTGTGGAAAGCTTGTATCACTCGTAAACATTTTTCTGACTCCGAGTACAATCACGGTATGCCACTGTCAACATTTCAAGTGTTTTTAAGCGCTCAACTTCATTTTTCAAACAAAATTTGATGCACATTTTTTTATCCATTTTTTTCGATAGCAGTAAATCGCAGAACACGCAAAACACTTCTAACTTTCATGCCCTCACCAACAAATTAAACATGCTAAACAGCTCAAACAGTGAATATTTGTTTGAAGCGAATGTACCATCAAAAAATTCGCTAATCGAATGTACGTAGCTCGCGAAACTTGAACATTCATCTAATTTTTTTACGCTTTATATTAGCTTCGCCAGTATGTATGTATGTTTGTTTATAACTCTCAAGCTCGGGATCTGTATTGACAGAATTATCGGCATTATTGCTTGATCTATTCGCGGGAAGATGGCGCTGTACGTAATTATCAATTATTGCTTGATATGTTTGCGGGCAGATGGCGCTGTAGGTAACTATCAATTATTGCTTGATTTATTCGCGGGCAGATGGCGCTGTACGTAACTATCAATTATTGCTTGAGCTATTCGCGGACAGATGCCGCTATACGTAACCTCCTTGTAGGTTGTTCAAAAGAAAATCAAAATAAAAACATATTTTAAGAATTATAAGTGTTAGCGAAATTTTGTACTACAGATGGAATATTTAAATATTTACAATTACCCGTGAACGAAACGGAAGATATATTTTAAAATCTAATTCGATTATTTGAAAGCAAACCAGAATATGGATTTCAACAATGAAAACTTTATTGTAAATTGTACACCTAAAAATTCAGTTACTAAAATATTTCAAAAAATCGAAAAATAAAATTATTCACTGAAAAAATATTTTTATTCCATTAATATTTTGAATGAAACTTCAAATCAAAACATCAAGACTGAATTGTTTTTTGAAATTATTACTGCAAATTTTCTCTTTACTTCGAAACAAATTTTACAACTGTCCGTCCTCTGTTGGAGACTTACTGCATCTCAGTATTACTATAAAATTTGAGACCTCAAACTTTATTATATTGTTTCAGAGGAATTTTACATTCGTGCACCGTCTGTCAAAGATTTATAATACTAGTGACTAGAACTTAAAAAAAAAATTTTGAAAATAAAACGGAATAGAAAGTGAAAAATAAATATAGTTTTGAAAAACTAAAAAACACGCTTTTAAAGAACATCGAACTAAAAAGTTGAAAATAATTTTTTTTAAATAAGCTTGAAACAACAACGAACGAAAAATATTATTATTATTGTGAAAAAAGCGTGGGCGCTTTGTGACATATTTTCGTATATTAGTTTTAAAAAAAACTAAAAAATACGCTTTTAAAGAACATCGAACTGAAAAGTTAAAAATAATTTTTTTAAATAAGCTTAAAACAATAACGAACTTATGTTTGTACATTTAAAAGCGTGTTTTTTAGTTTTCTTAAACTATATTTATTTGAACAGACCCTCTATATAAAATTTATCAATTACAAATCACAAATGAGGTCATTTTATTCAAAGTTCTTATGCAAAATAGGAATGAGATCTTTTGGTAAGTGAGGTGAAGATCACGCTAATATTAATTTTTCTCCTAAAATTGAAAGTTGTTCCGTTTTTGCACTGATTTATAGCTACACTGGAATTGTAGATAATCGGCACGGTAAGTTTTAAGAAGCCATAAATACTTACCCGATGACACTTTAATGTCTGCCCTTCCGAAACCAGTGTCGCATCAACATACTGTTCCTTTAGTAACAGATTTGGAAAGCTGTTCTGCATATTATAATGATGACTATTCCATTTCAGACAAACTTCCTCCGTCTGTGGTGGAGGAGGCGGGGATTTAGGTGATGAGTGAGTCTGTTTAGTTTGTCTGGTGACTTTGAGTTTTGTAGGTGACAAAGGTTGGCTGTGGAGAATGGCATCTTGTTCTGCTGTTGGAGTTTTTAGGCGTTGCTCGAGTGGCATGGAATCTGAAATTTATCAGTGATACAAACTGGATTGGTCGGTCATCGCTCAGTGATTAGACATTTTTACATAACTTAGACTGATTTATGTATTGATATGCATATGAAGCTATCAAGCAAGGGAATGGACAAACCCAGAAGAATAAAACATAGTTTCAAACTTTACAGAAGATAGAAAGGTTCATACTCGGTGGACTTGGTCTACCGTATCTTACTAACACCAATAAGTAAGCAAACAGTAATGTAGGTGAATAGACTGGCTCCTCACAATGTCGATTATCCTCCCTTTTGATTTCATCAAAAGCAAGCAGACTAGGTACTCGAAACGACGTAATTTGAAGAGGGGGCAATACTATCACGACCATGGCAGGCGAGCGAACGAATCACCACTGGCATAAGTTTGACAACATAATGTGCTTCCACATCTGCAAGCGTGTGATTAGTCTCCAGATTATACCGAAGTGGCACAACCTCTTTAGTAAAAAACAATAATAATAATAATGAGTATCACAATCCCAGTAACAAAAAGCATTATAATTCATGATCCTAGTAACTATCGTCCTATAAATACTCCACCACCCTTGGAAAAAATATTAGAAATGACCGTTTATGGAAAAAAATAAATAGTAACATTCTGGTGAAAAAAAAATCAGCAAAAGATATTTTATTCATAACAAAGAAATACCTAGAATATTATTAATATCATCCAATTTATTTTCCTTTGAATGTGTCCCATGGTTAGAAACTCTATTCTCAAGATTGTTATGGGCTCCAGCATTTTTTATTCTCCTCCAGCGTCTAATATTTGATTCACTAATGCCATATTTTCGCCTTGCTTCCTTATTTGTTTTTTGTTCAGCATATAAAACTACAATTTTCTTGAATTCAGGATCATAAACAGCACAATGTCTACGTGTCAGTAAGTCCTCATTATTACTTTTTTTCAAAGTAGATTTAGTTTTGACTTTCATATTTCTATGGAAGAAGTTTAAGTTAAAGTCATGTCCAGTTATAACCATTTTTGAAAGAACAATGAGCATAGGGTTATCTAGTTTGAACTGCAAAGAAATAGGCAAGTCCCCATATGGGTATGTAAGACAGATTTTTCATGCGAGCTTGACTCTAACGAAAACAATTTTCCCACATCAGAACAAAAACACTATCTCTCGACGCTTATTTCGCTAAGCAAGATAGCATAATCAGGAAATGACTAATCATCTCGCCCATTGAAAAACAGTGTTTTTGTTCTAGTGTGGAAAAAGTATTTTTATTTGATTCGTTTTATGGCAGAAATTCCAATTCTACCTATGAAATGAGCAGGAGTGTCAAATAAAAACTTTAGTATACCTACCTAGTTTTACTGTACTACTACTGAAAAAAGTTCCTCATACGAACTATAATTTTGTATTTGTATATATTGACCACAAAGAAGATTTTGTCTTGAAAGTATATCAATTTCACATATATCAAAATTATTCCTTTCACCAAGTTTTTTTGAAAAGTTGTATGTATACAATTCCAGTATTATTTAAGGTATTTTTTCTTTTTTTTAATACCATATACTATGTGACAATGTATAATATACCGAAATACAGGAAGCTAAATAAAGTTCAACTGAATTTTTAACTTTATGCCCTAGAAAATTATTTTTCTTATTTGAATTGGACATACTGTTTCTAGAATGAAGATACAGTAGATTGTTTGTATTCTGCTCTTAATGAACAGTGGTCTACAGTGGTCAAAACGCTCGGTCCTAGACATATATTTTATCAACCTTTTTTGTAGAACAAACACTGGTTGCATCAGCAGCTTGCTTGCTTGATACTTTCCAGAAAGCAAGGAAAGTATATTTTTCCAATGGTTTTCGTATCATAAAAAAATGTCATCCCTCAATAAAATTGATGAATATTTTTTCCAACTCTCATTTAAACACCATTGACAGCTTTATATAGTAGGTATAACCTTCAACTCAGATATGAATTTTTCATTTTCAGTAGTTTATGAAGTTTCAGAATTATCAGTAGTATTCAGAAAAATATGCATTTTTACTCAATCTTTCAGTACCCTCCGATGACCTCAACCATTTTGTCAGGTATTGTTCAGTTACACAATGAACCAGATTGAAATTCTTGATTATTTATCCTCAATGACAGACAATACCTGAGTTACTCAATAACAAGACCCATTTCCAGAATCTCAATGGCATCTTGAAGTCTATTTTCTTATATCTACCTGTTTCAACATTTTCAAATAATTTTCCTGAATTCTGAGGATGTTATTCGAATTATATTGGTCAAAAAAACATTTATACAAAATCGATTACTTAGGTCTAGAAAACTTTCACCCTTCCTGAGTTCCACAGAGAAAATTAAAAATACCATTCGTGTTTTTTATGAATCGAATTGTTATTTCACCAAATATATAAAAAAATTAAAGTTATATTGTATTCAAAATGTACTATAAAGATGTAACAAAAAATCTTTCACTGAACGTTTTGTGTCAGCACGACCACCATCAATTTTTTTTCAAATACGGTCCTGTCTCTTTTATCACAAATATCAATGAAGGAATGAAGTGATAAATTTACTATTCAGTGGTATATCACACTTGACATTTTTTAGATAGAACAGCATATAATGTGGGTAAAATGACTTCAAGCAATTGAAATTATGACAGAAATTTTTATTGATCTCAAATTATGAAAATGAAACAGCTCTCAATTATTTCAGCCAAAAAGATAAAACCAATTTTCAAGTGGTCAAGACTGATTCTGTAGACCCAACTGTTTCAAACAGTAAGGTATTTTTCATTCATTTGCATAATGAAATTAAACTAGTTCCATAACAGACCTGGTATGAATAGGCATAAATTAAATATTAATAAAGTACTTATTATTCAAAATAAATTTGTGAAGGGCTTGCCTATTTTTATTTCCAAGGTATTCATTCTTTCAAATTATATAGTAGTATATTGCTTGTTTACAAATTTGAAATTGGCGCCTAGTAATGATCAATAATAATTTTCAAATGAGAACAAACCTTCATCCTCGATAGAAGTCAGAGGTTCCCAAACGTTCCTATCATCTGGATTAACTAAACAAAAAAAAATCAATTGTCAAAACTGAGACGGTTTTGGCCCTGTATAGTCACATACCAAGTTCTTCTGAAACTCCAATGAAGTCTTCAGCTCGGTACAAATGCTGGCATTTCTTCCACTTGTTTTTAACTTCTTGTAGAGTTCTCTTTTCTGAGCCAACTTCATTGACCTTTTTTGTTACATCTATCCAAGCTATGTGTCTCGCGTTTTTGTTTACAGCACGTTTAGAGAATTCGCCATATAAAGTTTCATAGTTTTTTCCGACTGTTCTTACTAAAACATCCACCTCCTCTGGCGAAAAGTTACTTTTCCTCTGTTTCTTTAGTACCTCGGCCATTTTGGTATAAAGAACTTAGCACCACTAGCTGATTTTCACTAGTATCAATCCAACTTATAATTAAAATATTACCGAATTAACGAACATCCAGTAGTCACACCGAGATCAAATTTGTACAAGTTTACAAAAATTAAATGTACCAGTGCTAAACCTGACACTGAATTCTACTACTCTACAATTCGAGGGCCTTAATAGACTGATCTGAGGTTCCAAAACAATCTCTAGTCTTCACTCAAAGGCATGTAAATTGTTCTCATTCATTAATCGATAAAATTAATTAGTAAACGAAATGAAGATAATTTTACCAAATTTGTTTTTAAATCATCAAATTTGTAAACAAGCATAAGTAGAATGTAGAAATAAACTACTGGCCTGGACATAACCTTACTCCGCCGAATTCCACAATTCTACTATTAAATCAATTATTTCATGAGTTAACCACACACTCTTTTATCACTGATCAGCTTTTCTCAAATTTATTCTTTTGTTTAAACTTTATTGAACACTGAAAACAAACTGTCACAACAAACTCTAGATAGAAATCGTGATTCGCGAATAGGCAATCAAACAATCAACAATATCAGCAGTTGTGCCAGTAGTTGCCAAAATCTGATCGGCATCTGTATGAACACCATTGGTAAAACCTTTGTCAATATTCAAAAGTAAAACTCATAGAATAAACTAGTAATATTTCTCGCATTCGTTTAAAAAACTAATTAGCAATGAGAAGCTTCTCTTTATGAAGCCTTAGAAAGTGAAACATCTTTTTTTTTAGGAATTCCCTATACCTACGAAATATTTCTTTCAATTTGAATGTGGTACTGAAATTATGATCCGCATTTTAGTTTTTTAGAGACCTGATCCCTGATCTGTTATCCTTGTCTATGTGTGACTTGTTGTTCTTTATATGTCTGTCCAAGGAGTTGCCAGTCTTATATGTTATGTTAATATTATGTTTATTCAGTAGTCTTTTTATTTTTAGAATATGTGAATGTCGTGAAGGTTATACTCGGTTAATAGCTTGTTTGAAAATTTTTTTATAAAGGATGTGATGTATTAGGTTAGGTTAGGCTAGGTCAACAGTGAGTGGGTCTATTCGATCCTCCACCGCACAAAGTATGTGCTAATGTGCTTTGCTGTTTCATCATTTTCCAAACAGAGGCGACACACACACTGTCTTCCGACAGTTCAAATCCCTGCATATGATGATTCAGACGACAGTGACTTCTGAGAGGGCTTGTAAGAAATCGTAGTTCATCTCTACTGTAATCCCACAACTGTTTAGTTTTAAGCTTCGAACGGTGAATGAATGCTTTGCTTACCATCCAAGTGTTCAATGTTTGTTTGGCAAAGCCTAAAGCGACGTCAATGACAGGTTCTGGTCTGATGAAGTTGGGCAGGCCATGAAGAAACCCTCAGTTTTCTCCTTCAGCCCACACGACCTGAGGAAAGTGGAGGTCACGGGCTTTGATAAGCCAAGGTCTTCAATGTTGTTAATAAAGACCTCATTTATTGACTTACCCTTGTGTTTCGACAGAAGTGAAGTGATTTCTGCGGCTTTTTTGTATGCCTTTTGCTGAACGCGTTCCAACTCAGTGACACACAGTAACAATCACCTCGTTCAGTATTGGGCTCTAAACCGAGTTCATCAGCCGTTGGGGATCCAACTCCCGTTCTATGATTGTCGCGGACCATACAGTAAAGGGTATCCCAACTTTTGATAATTTTACAGGCTCCGTCCAGTACCAGTACTGCATTGTTAACATTCTAAAGTCAAAAGTACACGGCCTCCCCGTTGTTGATGAAAGTACAACTGTGGAACGGGCGATTTGAGATGCAAACTTCTATGAAGATGAAGGTCTTTACGTCGACTAGATGCAGCTACTCCCGGGTCCACTTCTTACTATTTTGGGGATGAGAAAGGTCCGACCCTCGACAAACCAATCCAAAATCGGCTACTCTTCATCCGGTCATGAGTTGATAACTCTGGCAAGATGGCGGTGGGTGCTTGGTAGTTCTTTCACCAATCAGTGTTCAGCCTATCTGGGTCTGGAGTAGCAAAGTTTTTGAAACATACAAGGGCTCTTCGAACGTCTTCCGGGGTTATTGGTTTGTGCAGTTCATTAAACTTAGGCTGCCGTTGTTATCTGCTAATAGCTTCGAACTGTGCTAGGGCTGAAGTGTCTTAAGTTGTGTGGCTGCAGGTGTTCATAAATGTCTTTCCAGAAGAATTCTACTTGATCAGCAGTCGGCGGATAGAATCTGAACCACAAGGCAAGGATTTTGTCCTTCAGATTCGAAAAGCGATTGGACGATGCTATACTCGGCGGTGTTGCTTTTTCATATTATTATTTTCATTAATATTATTATTATATGAGATAATATATTTCTACAACGTTCGCAATGTCCGCATGATTTTTAGCGCGTGTGCATTCTGTAAGTTTTGTACCATAGTTTCACTATTTAATATTGTGTTAATATTTGAGCCTGTAATCACATAACACTGAAATTTAAATTTTTTGTAATCTGTGCCACAGAATTCTGTGCTTCTGACTAATTGAATTACCAAAGTGTCAAGAGAGAGAGAGAGAGAGAGAGAATTATCAAAGTGTCACTGATTTATGCAATAACCTTAAATTCTCTAATAGTCTCATTTATTGTATCAAGTGACATTTTATCATAAATTCAAATATTTCTTTTAATTAATTTATTATTAGTGCAATGGCGGAAATTGTACCTTCTGCCATTGAACAGGAATTGTTGGGAATAAAAAATCTACTCTGGGGTAATGAAATTAAAGATGACATTTTCAAAAGGTGGTCACAAGGTAAACTTTTCTTGGTAATTTTGATAATTTGGGGTTGTAGGGATAGGTAAAATATGATTTTATTTTTTGTTTCAGGATTTTATTTCAGCATCAAGGAAAAGTGTGCCCTAGAACAATTGGAAGGAGGACCTTGTGCAATTATAGCTCCTGTCGAGGCTTTTATTTTGAAAAATCTCCTCTTAGAATACAAAGATATGTCTTTCAGAGAAAAGGTACTGGGCGAGTGTTCTTGAATCACTCGTCTGTTGTAACATATGTGCAAGTGAGGTCACAGGGGGTTAAGACTAACATTTTAATATCTGCTATGGATATGTATGAGTAACTGGCAAATAATCATAGTATAAACTCACGAATACAGGATTTGAGTTGTTTGCATGAACAATTTACAAAGTGCGAGTGATTCAAAAATAGGGCCCATGAACGTGAAAGAAAATATCTAAATCTAATTATAATAAATTTTTAGGTTGATACAGGAATTCAGAATCGTGCCCTAGTCAATGCTCTCAGTGAAATTTTGGGACAGTGTAACAGCCGAAAGTATTACATAGTATATTTAGATAGTCAAATGAGTGATCCTGTAAGTGAAGAAATTAAAGATGGAGAAAAGAGTGATAATATTCCAGGAAGACAAGATCCATCTGTAGAAATTGATCCTTTCAGGTTTCACGAACAACTGAGAGTTCAAAGCTTTCATTGCATAGATGATGTAAACAAGTATTATTTTGAAAATATTAGTAAGCTGAAAGCACATTATGGCGTCTTGTTGTTTTTATACTCTGTGATTGCATCAAAGGTGAGAGTATTTGATAAGAGACACATTATTTTTGTATAGCTTGTGAATTAGTTTTTTCAATATTATTTGCAGATTGTATATTTTATTGAGCTATAAGGTTTTTTCACCCCTTAATAGAGGTTTTGAAGGAGCCTTTTATGTTTTCACAAACTAACATTAGAAGGCACTTCAGAAATATAATGTGGTTTCCGTCAGTTGTGCTGAAATGACGTATGCACATATATCGTCTACAAGATTATCAGCAGCACACCACCCATATATCTCTTGTGAAGTTTCTTATTGTTCAACTTTAGGTATTGAAACTTCATAAGAAAAGACTGTGTACAATCGGTTTTCAGAATTTCTTGGGGGTTGTGCATCCATCATTGCAAGAAATATTGATGCCTTGAGCAAGATAATTGAAGAAGATTGGCATGTGACATGAAGCATTCCTTGGCATTTCAAATGCTGCTATACATACAATTTCGCATAAATATGAAACTGAACAACAATACTCTGTTGGGAAATTTAAGAGGACCAAAGAAAAGTTAGGTCTGGATTGAACAATAATTTATTAATGTGGCTTAGTACACAACTGTAAAACTCTTAGGAATATATTGCCATATAGTTGTCTTTTGATACTGACTGGACATGCGCTAATTCATTAGTGTGGCAATCTATCTTTACACAAATACCACAGAAGAGTTACTCTACTGTGTTGATAATCATTACAATAAATTCAAGAAACCAGAAATATTCCCAGACACAACCAAGTCGGTTCCGGTCGTGTACATTTTCTTGCTCTGTTTATTTAATGTTTGAACATATAGGAACAATTATATATAGTTAATTGCTATATAGTTAAGTTTTACATTTCACCTATTGTTTATTTATAATTGTATTGCCTTGTTGAATAAATTATTTAAAAAAATCATGACGGTTCTCTTCAAAATAGGAATTATTCATAAACAAGAATATACTTAAAAACAACTCCTCTTGTAATATACAGTGTGAAACATATAAAATGGAAGCACCTTTATTCCATCAAATACCGTTATAAAGCATATAGGGTGGCCAAAACAGAGACGTTAAATTTTTTTTCAGATAGGAGGCCTCAAGACTTATTAAAAATCATGCATGTTATGCGACTTTTTTAATTGAACAGTATTGTACAGTGAATTAAGATATCTATCAAACGAGATATCAAAAGACCTCCTTTCCATTCGAAAAAAACAATACAAATCAGTAAATAATAAAATGACCAGTAATTAACGTCATGCAAGTGAATAATTTTCTTCAAAAAGTATTTTTTTTTGCTAATTTTTTAACGTATCGTTCAAGTTGTCACCTCAACTACTCTGATTGTAACATCGGGTCCAGGAAATAGTCGTTCAAACTTGTTATGTTTTCATTTTTGTCTTGGAGCAGTTTCATTATTCATTGTATTAGGTAAGGCGTCTTGCCACCATTTCTTTCATTTACTGAGACTAGTAAAAAAAAATGATTATTAAAATGATTATTTCAATAAATATTAGTACTTTATTTAAATGAATTGTAGATTGAATCTATATTATATATGGAAAAAATGAAATACTCTAGTAATAATAAAAATACTTTATTTGTTCTGCATATCATCTCTATGATGTAGAACACGTTATGAATTATGCTACAAATCTTTGTTGACACTACATAGTGTAAAATAGTAATATTATAAGTATGTACATGGAGTAAAACACCCCTTTAAATACAATACAGATACAAATTAAACTTGTGAATAATAATTAATAAAAATGATGAGAATATTTACAACATACATTTCATTTAAGGACAGTATGTTGCAATGCCATGATAACAAAAATTTGGTAAATAACATTTTACTTTACCCTTGAAAGTATCAAGGTTTTGTTGTCTTTTGATTCTGACTGGAAGCCCATTCCAATAAAGTTAGGAAATTTTTCAAAAGAGAGCTAGATTCAACGACTTTGGAATTCTCAGTGAATCACTAGTGCTTGCAGTATAGAACGGTATTTTAGTTGTGATTAGAAAGTGATTTTTTTTTGAGTTTGGAAGGCAGCCAGTACTTCAGTCATTAGCCTCATGTTCTGAATAGGCAATGTTAACTCCCCAAGCCACCTAAGAAGCATCATGGCTATTCACAGTCCGTAAGCCACGTTGCAGAATCATACCAATTTCAACTAAATAAATTATCTGTAAAAAAATTTCTGGTCAAGGTGGAGATCAAATTTATGACCTTACGATTGATGGTATAATACTTATAGGTGTGTTTATTCGACATTTGAATGCCCCATTAACAAAATTTATTTTTTGTTACAAATTAACATACATTTTGATATACTGATTACCCCAAAATTTCCATGCAACTGAAATATTCACAGTATTGAATTTATTATTTTTCAGGGTTTAGACCAAGTCAAGTCCGAGTCTGATACACGCGAACCTTTAATAGATGGAACTTATGGTTACGGCAGTCAAAATCTAATAAACCTCATGATAACTGGTAGAGCCACAACATACGTTTGGGATCATGATCAAGATATAGGAGGATTAAGTAAGATAATCACTGTTTTCAACCAGAATTAAATTATACTAATTAAAATATATTTAATGATGAATTTTCTCTGCCCGAAAATGACTTTAATTATTACAGTAAGTTTCTGAACCCTTTCTATGGGGAAGAATTGTTCACTCTGTTGAATTCTCGATTGAAAAACAAAAAATCTGCTGGGTTGGATGAAGTTTCGGGATTTGTGTTTTTTAGAGTACTGAAAGTGATCATTGAGCCTTTGATAATTTTAGTAAATATGTCTTTCAAAAATGAATCGTTTCTACAAAGCATCAAAACAGGAAAAGTTGTACCTCTACTCAAAAAAAAAAGTACTGTTAGAGAATTATCGCCTAGTGACTGTGCCATATAGTCTCGCAAAAGTTTTTGAATATGCATTCTTAGACTCTCATCATTTTTGGGGAAATACGAAGTCATTAGTAACAATAAACATGGTTTTCGACACAACATGTGGAATACAGCAATGTATTGTTTCCATAAACGAATTGCACAGTTTATCGATGCGGATGAATACCCTGTTGCAATATTCTGCTACTTGAGTAGGGCCTTTGATTGTGTGAACCATCAGAAATTGTTGAAGATATTGGAGAGTTATGGCATAAGAGGTATATCATTAAACTGTATTTTATCCTTTTTAACAAAGAGAAAACAAATTGTAACGCTTCAGTTTCAACACGAAAGCGAAATTAAAACCATACCCTCGAATAGTAAGGAAATCGAAATGGGCGATCCACAGGGATCGATCCAATTCTATTCATTTTGTATGCCAACTATCTTGATGCGATCATTATACTGGTGATTATACTGCGTAAGCAGACGACTTTTCTTTGTTTGTGTCCTCTACGGTGTCCTACGAACGAAATGTAGTGAAATAATTCATCTTTTTTCAATAGCAACAGCATATATTTTAATATTCAAACAACTCAAATGTTGAGATTTCACTGTCGCCAAAGAAATATTGATGATTTTGAAGTCAAAATTGGTAAAATATCTATGCGGAGTACACATGCAGAGGTTAGGTTTTTCGGAGTATCTGTGGATGAACATCTCTCTTGGAAATTCCGTTGCCAACAATTATCTTTTAAACTGAATTATTTTAAATATCTCTTTATCAATTCATAATATGTTCTAGAAGTGAAACAGATGGTGAATGTTTATTATGCCCACGTCGAATCAAGACTCAGATATGGGCCACTGGGTATTGCACCAGGTGCGAAAGATATTTTCATTGCACAAAAACGAGTTTTGAGAGTTTCTAACAGATAATCGTCTAGAGCTATTTTCAAAACTTTCTATGTTTTGACGCTTCCATAAATAAATAAATTTTGGAAACTTGTGTCCATGTTTTCAAAAATAAGAACACCTTTATTCGCAATTCGGATATTAATGGTTATGGAACAAGATAAATACAACATTTTCATGTAAATTTAGCAAAAAGAAAAATAAATTTATGTGCTCCTGATCATTTTGGCATCAAAATATTTAACAATATCACAGAAGAATTGAAGTATATAAATAAATTGTCTACATTCAAACATGAGTTAAGGAACTCTTTAATTAAAAAATGTTTTTATAGTATATGTGATTTTATAAAAATTCATTATATGTGATTACCTATGTGTGATGCAATTTTTAGTATTAGTGTATTTAATCTTTTTATTTTTTTATGTAAATTTTTATTTTATTTGAACGTACTAATTTGCATACTAATTGACAATTCCAATACATATAAGATATGTTGAAAAATGGAAATAATTATTGATTGATTAATTAATATTTTCGAGAGGAGTGTACCAATTTGAAAAAATTAAAAAGTCGCTAATCGAATGTACGTAGCCCGCGAAATTTGAACAGTCCCCTTATTTTTTTAACAGTTCATGTATAGTCACATTCTAAATAACAATATTGATTGCCACGAAAATGTGAGTACAAGTTTATAGTAAGAAAAGTCAAGAATCGATTCCCTAAATCCCAAAAGATCCAATCTTTTCGTTCCACCTGAACTTGAAATAATGAAAAAAATAATTTATTTTATGTTCATATATGATTTTTGGAGTTACCAGATTTATTTTTCTGATGTATTTTTTTCAGTATTGAAGGGTGTTGAAAAACAGAGCCAAATTGGATTCATCACTATAATGGAGTACCATAGATATTGTACAGTAGGATCTTTTTATAAAAATCCTATTCATCCTGTTTGGGTGGTAGCATCGGATACCCATTTGACAGGTATTTGAATGTTAATTCTCGGGTTTTATTTTCATTTAATGATAAGATATTTGCGTTGAAATACATTTCACTTCAGGACAGTGTTTCGCCTGCTATACTATCTATCTCTTTTGTGTTACTATCTCTAATTGGAAATGTCCTATAATCTGTGTACATGAAAACATTTGCATTATTGAAAAAAAATTGGTCAAATAATTTATAATTGACTCAAAGCTGGACTGGAAGAGCCACATAGATAAAGTGGCAACACAAATGTCTAGGTACTGCTATGCCCTGAAAATAATTACATAAAATATATCCACTGAGGTTGCGATGTAAGCATATAATGGTTATTTTCAGAGTCACATCAGATATGGCATTATGTTTTGGGGAATGTCTGCACATACACAAAAAATATTCATATTGCAAAAACGGTGTCTAAGAAAAATATTTAACCTTTCTCAGAGAGAAAGCTGTAAAAAATATTCGTAGAGATTAAATATTAACACTAACAGGTCTCTATATTTATGAATCTGTGATATTTGCCAAAGAAAATATATCTCTTTTTGCGACTCATGATAGGAACGAACCATTCCCTCAACACAAAAATAACCTTTTGAATATAAAGACACATTTGACCTATCTTTAAAAAAATATACCTTTTTCAATCATTAATATTTATAACAAGATACCTGAATCTCTCAGAACTTTGTCTTCTATGATCATGAAGAATAAATTGAAAGCTTTGCTTCTCTCCAAAGCTTATATTATTCGCTGGAAGAATTCTTTAATGATAATTTAAACTGATATTGTTTGCGTTGAATATTTCATGTCGTATCATTCTGCATTGTGATGTAAGTTAGTCTCTTTTGAACCCTACATATACATGTATATGTTCGTGTTCAGTATCTAATATAATAATATTACATTAGGTATACTGACTGTGATAACCTTATTATTCACACATCTGTGGCCATTTATATTCTTATATTCTTAACCAATATTAATGATACTGCCTCATGATTTTCTACTATGTCTATAATGTTTAATGTAATTGACATGTTCTACACCTGAAAATGTTTTTTATTACAAAGAACTAATAAAGGATATCTATTTATCTATCTATATATTATAAACGTACAAGGTTTCATCCCTGTATGATATGTATTATTGTATATCTGTTATAAATGCTCTAATGAGATGGAGATCTGATCCACGTATTCTATATTTAGATAATTTCTCCAATAGAATGGTATATGAGACACTGTCGAAGGACTATTTCAATGATGGCTTGTGACGTTATTATTGGGTAAACATTTTAAACCGATAATTATCACAGTCATTCATGTCACCTTTCTTCAAAATACATAATTTTAGATATATTGGAACTATCCCTTCTCCATGCAAGTATTAATCAAGTGTGTGAGTGGTCTGCTTAAGACTTCCAGAGGGTTTAATTTGTTTAGAACTAATGTTACAGGCATCCTCAATCGAGCTATTCTTGATAGTTTTTATCACATATCTTATTTCCATTTCAGAATACAGTCTTTCACCTTAAATTTCATAAGCTCATTTCCAGAGAGAGGCATTTGTGGAAGATATTTTTTAATAATATCATTAATCATCGTGGAGCCCCACAAAGGAATCGAGCTTCTTTCTTATAGTTGTCACCCTTTATATCATAATAAATGAGTAAAGTGATAAAATTTGTGAAAGCAATGTGATATCTCAATGATGAAACACTGTCATTAATTGATTGATCGAAATAATTGATTAGTTACATGCTCTTGAAAAAATTATTGATAGAAGTATTTGGTTTCAGTTATTTTTAGTGATGAACGGAAATTGGTGAGTCCCGAAACTAAAAGTGAGAAAGCTCGAAGGATATTCAAAAGCTTTGATCCTGATGGGAATAATTTCATCAGTTCAGATAAGTTGCAAGATGTTCTCAGCTCTCTAGAACTTGTGAGCGAAACAGAGTAGTAAGTTGTTCTTCATTCATTTCTAAACTGATTTTTTAATCTACTATCACCATTTTGTTCCAGTGTGAATATAATGAAAAAAAAACTAGATGCTGAAAGTTTAGGTATTATTTTGTTAAATGCTTTTATGGACGAATTTTTTCCTAAAGAGGAATCTTCTATACCTGATATGTTTACTCTCACACACTATAATGGTCTTGCACAAAGTAATGTTTCTGGCCAGGTAAGAAAATAAAATCAACTATACAATAGTTTCAAAATGGTAGGCACTAAATTCCAAAAAAAGAAAAACTTAATTTTTTTAGAAAACAACAGTTTATTATATGCTTGGTACTAAAAGGCTTCCGCAGATGCAAAGGAATTGAAGCTAGGATGATTGATATTATAACCAACACACGAACTGAAATTATTCATAATAAAAAGTGTACAATTCTGTCTTTGAATTGATGCAAACCATTTGATACTGTTGACCATGACATGTTACTGCAGAAATTATATAATTTTAGTGTGAGGGAAAGAATTCATGGTTGATTTCATAATTACTTGAATAATAAGAAAATAGTATATATGTATAGAAAATCAATAGTGCAATATTGAGATTATATTTTGTAGTTCCACAAAAAATCTACTCTTGGTCCTGTTTTGTTCTTCATTCATTCAATGGTAAAACTGAAACTTACCTGCAACCTTTAGTTATTTGCAGACAACACAAATCTTATATATTTTTTAAAGAAGTTTACAAGCAATCAAAATTTTACGAATTGCCTGGCTCAGATAGAGATTTTCAGTAATGTATAAAAGTTGGCTAGTTGTTACTCTAATGAGGAAGAGTACCATGTGAAATTCGAATATCTTACGTGGTTCAAATAACACAACTTAGTTTGTTAGAAATGAAGAAGACCTCTATTTCAACATTACACACACTCTGAAAATAGGACACCAGTACCTAGCCATGTACGTACTAGGGGTTGAAATAATACAGTTATATTTGTATAATATAAAGTTAGATAAAAATTATAAGTAGTGGTGGCGAAATTGGGTGTCAGAAAAAAGACAGTGAACAAAAGAAACAATTATGATAATAATGGATATCAAAAATCCTTCGATTACGACATTCAGCGGCGTAAAATGAAAATTTACTTAGTAATTGTTTTGTCCATACTTTTGATCGAGAGTTTAGAGTATGATTTCAGCTTTGTATCCCGTTTGAATGAGGTTTTCTCCACTCATTCAATCGACCTCTGTGTGAACCGGTGGTTCGAGCCCAGAGACAATCGATTTTCACTTCCTATAGTCCAACCCGTTCTAGGAATCGAACGTTAAAAGGTAAGACCTCTTTAATCCTTAGCTTGCCGAAGTTTGGTCTTCTGAGGGTTGCCGTTCGTACGGGGCACAAAAGTTGGTTAACAAAAAAACAGATTTCAACAAACAGACAAATTATATTACTATATTCCCCATAATTTTTTAATGATTGTTCATCATTGCCCAATTAATTCAAATTTCCAATTCTGTTTTTTCGTTAACCAATTGTTGCACCCATGGTATTAACAACCCTCAGAGAGCTAGAGATTAACGAGTTCTTTCAACGTACGATTCCTAGCAGGTTTTGGACAATATGCAGTCGAAATCGATATCCGACCGTAGGTTTCGAACCACCGTTCCACGAAACGATTGATTTAATGAGTAGAACAATTCTGACAATTTATAAAAATAACAGGGAAACTGATAGATTGAAATCTTAACTTTGGCCAAATAGTCGAAGTATTTACATAATTGAAACCTCATTACAGTTAATAATATCACATCGAATTGCAACTTCTATTCGTTTTATTTTCAGTCGCAGTATTTACATACTTGTTAAGGTACATAATAGAAATCACTAGTAAACAGACTACATTTGGAAAATGTTTATTTTCAGGTTCAGTTTCATATTGGTTCAGCAATTCTGTTGGAATCCGACATAAAATCTGTGTGCGAATCCAATCCCATGCTAACCGTTCTTCAGACTAAATGGCCCAATATAGAAGTAAATTGGTGTGACAATGTGACACCATCTCTCAATTGAAAATTTTATTCTCATTGTTTCATTAATTCTGCGCATTTATTAAATATTTAATTCAATTGTTACATAGACAAATACATTTTTTATTTTGCATATTTTGTGTATTCATTTGCTTTGAAAATTTATAATCATTGAAGTTTATTGTCGGGAAAGAACAAAATTATCTTTAAAATCTCTTAAAATCTAATTTTTCGTTAACCAGCTGTCGTCCTCTACAACGACAAAGTTATAACTTGTACGAGCTGATAAAGTATATTGCGAATTTAATAAGAAGTATCTTCAACGTGAGGAACTTTAAACAAATACTTGTGATGTAATTCATTGGTCGCCAGAAATGAGCCAGGAATTTAGTTGTTTTCTGGCTTATTTCTGAGAAATCCTACTATATGGAAAAGGCGCGCGATATTTATCACCTATCTAAACACCGCTCTAGCTCAATTTCCACTCTATACGATCTGTGACCACAGGAAACCAGAAATGGGCAAGTTAGAAATCAAATGTTTCTCAAATAGTTACTACTAAAATGCTTTTTCAAAACAGTGGTTGAGAGTAGTTTAGGGTTATTGTTTTAAAATTACATTTTGACATTAAACATATGTTTATTTAAATTTATGTTTTCAATATTGTGTATTCAACATGTGCCTACTATATTTGATTTACAATGAGTGGAATAAGAAAAAAGCAGGTGATTTTAATGAACTGCAACGGGAAATAATACATCAGCATCATCAATACCTACTTGCTTTTTGAGTAAAATCTTTACATTATTATAGTTTAGTTATACCAGGTACAATGTTTTGGCCATTTATTTTGGGTTTGAAAGTATTAATGCTATGGCTCTTAGATATGCATTCTTTGACGATTTTGCTACTGAAATTGCTGTTATTTCACCTAGTATATTGGGAAAAAACCTAGAAAAGAACAGTATATCCTACTCTTATTTTGTTTCCTACTGCCCATTTCTTCCAAGTCTCCAAGAAACGCTGTGGTCTTCTGGACATATTTCATTTCNTGATGTTTCACATCTGCAAGGCGTCCCGTAACGGCTCTTCAACAATTTTTATTTTGTTTCCTTCAAAGTAGTCTCCTCACAAAGTTTCGGAAAAAATTGCATAGCACGAGCCAACCGATATCCTCAGTATCTTCTCTAAACAGCTGAAGTTGTGAACTTGTGTTCGAGATGAGTGTACTAACATAACAAAAGTTGCATCATTTTACTAAACATCATAATCTGATTCTAGAAGTTAATTTTAATTGTATGAACAACTTTTTTTCATATTGTCATCAACTTCTATGTAATTTCTATGTGTGATTTACCATGCTTAAATTAACTACTACTATATTGCTATACTTATTTTTTTGAATTATCCCTTTAGGTAATCAATGCTTACGGGTCCGCTTTTACTGATTTGAAATAGTTAATCTGCTTTATGGTTTGGTCAGCAAATACTTTAAATCTGGGTACTTGCTGATTATTTTTTTTACGATTTCTCAATACTTTCAAGGCATCTTCAGACGACTGATTAATTACTTTTAATGGTTTTATTTTATTCCCTTCTTTTTCAATAATTATTACTTTGATACTATCACCTTCCTTTGTAAGATTTGGTAGTAGGTTTTTTGTGCCAACGGCATCAAGTTCTCTGGCCACCTAAGGAGCATCATGGTATCTGTCAGCCATGAAATGTTACAGAATCATCACAACTTCAACTAGATACATTTTTTCAAGAAAAATATCTGGTTGAGGTGGGTATCGAACTCGATCAATACCTTTCGATCGTGATAGTAGGATCTTTACTCTAGTTTTCTCTTCCTTGATTCTACTACTTTCATCTAAAGTCAACGACTCCTTTATATTGAGGAAAGTCACATTTTTAGCATCCTCACAGAATATTCCTTGTTGAAATCTCATCACTCCTTTTATTTTCATTATGTTATTCAGAGCATTTTTATGCCTTCTGACACCAGAAGAAAAAATTGCCAGTGACAAAATGTTTATTTTCAGGTTCAGTTTCATATTGGTTCAGCAATTCTGTTGGAATCCGACATAAAATCTGTGTGCGAATCCAATCCCATGCTAACCGTTCTTCAGACTAAATGGCCCAATATAGAAGTAAATTGGTGTGACAATGTGACACCATCTCTCAATTGAAAATTTTATTCTCATTGTTTCATTAATTCTGCGCATTTATTAAATATTTAATTCAATTGTTACATAGACAAATACATTTNAATAGCAGAGTATGTTTGGACCCATCAAAATAACATCAAGTGGTCCCAAGCAAAGATCATCCACAAGGAGGAACACTGGTTGAGGTGGAAATTCAAAGAAGCCGCATATATGTTGTTCAACAACATATTCAGCTAAGCTAGCATAGAGACACGCAACATATTTCATTGTGATTTCATTTCAGGGTTTTTTTGCTTGATATAATTATTATTTTCAGCTATTTACTTTAATTTCAATTGTATTAGTTCTTTCAGGGATTTCAAATCATTTTATACCACAGTAGACAACAGAAGTCCAAACTAATGAAATTCATAAACGTTGGATTCAAGGAAATCAGCTCTGAAGAGTTTTACAAATCTCAGTATGGAAGAATATCTTCACAAAAGGTCACTGTTGAAAAAAAAACCATGTATCAGGTGAGAAAATGAACTCATGATATATAAGAATGATTTCCAAAATTAAACTATGTATCAGTATCATTGTATCATCTCTTACCTGTGCATCACTAAGTACATTATCTTTTTCATAACTGTCAATATATAACCTTATCGTGGCCCCACTGCTTCCTGTTCCTGACAACCTATAAATCAATCTGGACCCATCCTCAAAAAGAATTCTTATTCCCTGTAGATAATCAAAGGGAATATTAAAATTGCTTCTTCAGTTGAAACACTGATAATTACCTGATTTTTTGCCACACTTTCATCAATTGGATCTACATATGAGAAATTATCAGCTTTACTTATTTTATAAGTTTTTCCAATTGCTGTATATGATTTCCCAACAAGAGTATCGCTGTTTATTAGTTTTTCTAAATGTGCCATTAGTTGATTGGCTGCATCACTTTCACATTCTTCATAATCGTATCTGAGGAAAAATCATTACAATTTGTAATGTAATAACCCTCAAATTAGTTCAGAAGATAAGAACTTTATAGTTCAATGGTAGGTATTCATCGGGAGAATCGTGTGTGACAATTATTTTTTTGTTGTGTTCTTGAGTTATAAGGTTTGTAATACCTCATTAGATAAACTTGTTTGATTGATGAACTATTTATTTTGTAGAAATTCATATTGAATATAGGATAAAGGAAAATAACTTTTGTCTGAATTATACTAAGTTTTTTATTTGTTAAAGTGGTTAAGGCTTTCGCGGCCGAGATTTTCAGTTTTACTCGTTGGGGTGCGACTGCTGGTTAATGGAAAAATAGATTTTGAAACAGAAACAGAATCGGGTTGGAAGGTCGTAGTAGTTTGGAACTGCATCCTAACGTTTCGCCAGCACGAATGGCTGGTTTCGTCAGATGACTTGGTGAATCATCAAGATGAATAATTCTGGCTTCTTCAGAGGATTATTCATCTTGATGATTCACCGAGTTATCTGAAGAAGCCAGCCTCTTGTGCTGGCGAAACGTAAGGATACAGTTCCAAACCACGACAGACTTCAAACCCGAATGACGAAAGCAACACTTTCTTTATTTGTTACAATCAGTTTCGATTTATTAAACCATTCTCATTGAGAATAGTTTCTACTGAGTTTTTTTATTTGTTCATTGTTATTTGTTCATTGTTTATTGAATCATTCTCATTGAGAATGATTCAATAAACCGAAACCTTGTGATGTACTGTTTGGAACCTTTGGTGTAGTATTGAATATTACTGGAGTTTTTTCCCAACACCAAATAGTTATTTTTAACATCTCAACACGTGTTTCAATCACCAAGTGATCATCTTTAAGAGGGAGATTAAACTCCTGTAGTATTCAAACCGAAACCGGTTGTAACAAAATAAAAACATTGTAGAAATCAGACAAAAGTTTCTTATATTTATTGGATGAAACTTTTCGTCAGTTTAATATGCAACTAAGTCATGTGAACTCAATAATTATTGATTTTGACATGAAAAATAGTTCATAAATATTGAAAGGGTTATATTTTTAGGAGTGACTAATTTTTGGTAAAGAAAGTTTTTGGCTTTCTACTACTCCATCTTGATACAAAAAAAATGTGGGAATCTTCCAAAGAAAGGAAGGAAGTAATCAATTTTAAAGTAAGTAATTCTATACATGGATGTGTAGATCATGCAAAGAAGTAACTTTCATACACAAACTGGAAAAAAAAGCCCTCCTGAAACAGCTACTTTCATATAAACATATACGAAAGAAAAATTCTTTCGAAACAAATACTTTTATATGAACACTGAATTATACAGAAGACACTATCCTTTACTCAGTTTGTATTCCAAACATTCGTTATGAAATAAACTCGGATATCATTCACAGGAGTTCTACATTTAGTGTATAGAGTTACTTATTTTAAAATTGATTACTTCCTTCCTTTCTTTGGAAGATTCCCACATTTTTTTTGTATCAAGATGGGGTAGTAGAAAGCCAAAACCTCTTTCCCAGTTCATAAATATTCAATCAAGCTTTAGTTTTCAATCAAACTAGGCTATCCACTTACCCAATTTTTTTGGTAGTTGTAACTTACCTTGTGAAATAATTTCTCCCATATATACCCCAGTGTTCCTTCAAAATTTCTTCTACACTCATATTCTTGTGCTCAATTACGGAAAGCCATGCTAAAACTGCCCAAATTCCATCTTTCTCTCGAATGTGGTCAGAACCGGTACTGGAAATAAACACGATTTAAACACAACCTTTTTTTGAAATTCATGAATAACACACTAAAAAAGAAAAAATATGTCAGTAGCTTCCACAATAATTGAAAATCTATTTGTGACTTGGATTATCTACAAAAAACTTTATAACCAATGATTGAAACATAAGATTAACTTTTTTAGGTTAAACATTTGCTTGTAGATATTTAAAAAAAAAGTACAACACAAATGATGAAGAAATAAAAGAGGAGATCAAGTTCACAATAAAATTTTTTTGAACGCTTCAGTCTTCATTTCAATAAATTAATTTTCGTAAATGACATTTTTTGCAAGTTTCTTCTATTGACCAACCAAAACTGGATTTTCAGCCGAAATAGAAACATTTCTGAATCTAAGAAAATTCATACGATTGAAGGAAAATTGAAGGTTTACAGACTTATGATTGTAATTGAACATCTTATCTCTCATAATTTAAGTTTTTTCAGGTTAATAGGGTTAAATGTGATGGTAGATTTGTAAAATCAGAAATATAGTTGAGGCATTAAATTGTTTTGTTCAAGTCTTATTCTAATTAACACTGTCTTTTATTGAGTATATAATAATAATAGCTAATTCAGAATTGTATATAAACAAATGATCTTTTGATTTAATATGTATGTCAAGTCACTCAATTCTAATTTTTCGATTTTTTGAAATATTTGAGTAACTGAATTTTTCAGGTGTACAATTTACGATAAAGTTTTCATTGTTGAAATCCATATTCTGGTTTGCTTTCAAATAATCGAATTAGATTTTAAAATGTAACTTCTGTTTCGTTCAAAACTTTTTTCTGTACTGAATCACGGGTAATTGTAAATATTTAAATATTTCATCTGTAGTACAAAATTTCGCTAACACATAAAATAGGTTTTTTATTTTGAACAACCTATCAAGGAGGTTACGTATAGCGCCATCTGCCCGCGAATAGCTCAAGCAATAATGCCGATAATTGTGTCAATACAGATCCCGAACTTGAGAGTTACAAACGTACATACATACATACAGGTGAAGCTAATATAAAGTGTGTAAAAATGATTATTGCAGTGAAAACAAAATGAATCAATAATCATTATGAATAAGTCTAATGTTGTAATCTAAAATGACTAGCAAATTAATGCGACGATCTACGTATATTTATCCAGCAGCACTTGACATTTTCTCATTGGAGTTGCTTGTTTCTAGCGTGGAAAGGTAATTCAACACTGCTTCACTTAATGTTGGATATGAGCTGGAGTTCCAATAGGAAAATATACCAGCATCAAGTTGAAGTAATGGCTACTTTGCTTTCAACGTCCACATCTTAATTTAACAGATTGTAGTTTTGAAGTAAAAAATAAACTCATGTCAGTAAAAACACTTCAAAAAGTTGTTACACTTTGAATGTTCTTTTCAAAAAGTAAATTTCTAATAAGAAATCTATATCCTTTTTCCGAAGATTTAAATAACTGCAGTTTTCTCACAGCCCCTTTAGACTCTTGAGAATTGATCCCTCTATCATTTTGGCAATCTGGCCATAGGTTCGTGGTTTTTAGTCCGTGTATAACATTTTCAAAGTAAATGTCAAAAACATTCCAGAAGACAACAGTCTATCCAGAAATTTTCTATATGATTATGATTATAATTATTATGAACATAGAATAGGGCTTTGAAAGTATTTTATGGGGTGTCGAAACTCATTTGTATAAATTGTATCATAATATATAACTGCGGAAAATTCAGAGAAGAAAATATTTTACCCAAAACTCTCTTCACCGCAAAGAGATAACCTCCCAGCATCCATCAAGTTTCCAAAGTATTTCCATCCAGTAGGTACTTCAAACATCTCTTTGCCCAACTTTGCTGCTACCCTGAAATAGTATGACTGAAGTTGGTTCTTTTCATGTATTACCTCTATTACCTATCTACAGCAGCAGCTGTAGGCATAGACCTGGCAAATCCATGGATGCCATTTTCTTTAAAATATGGAATGCATTCTAAATTATTTGCTAATACAGCCAAACTATCACTAGGCGTTACAAAAAATGCGTTTTTTCCAATAATCATATTTCGATCCTGAAACAAAAAAATCGAAGATTCATTTGCTAACTAGACAATGATTATCCGCAGCACATGTAAACTATTCAAAAGCAGTTACAATTGATATATAAACTTGCATTTTTATGCTTTCAACTTCCTGGAGGTGAGATGATTCAACAAAATTCAGTCAGAAATCGGAGATCATTATATATGAAATATTCCAATAAGTCTACCAAGTTTAAACTTTATTCAAGACACTTTTCATTAAAAATTATTTTTAAGTAGTGAGACAAAAATGATTTTAAAAATTATTTACCAGTTACACTCAATCACCTTCAGTAAAACTAATTAAAAACTTTTGAAATTTAGGATAGATAATCATCTAATGAAACATACTTTTTTATTGGGAAAAAAAGTTTTTGGCTTTCTACTACTCCGTCTCGATACAAAAAAAAAGATTAGGGAATCTTCCAAAGAAAGGAAGAAAATAATTTGAAAATAAGTAACTCTATACATGGATGTGTAGATCATGCAAAGAAGTAACTTTCAATGTATAATTCAGTGTTCATATAGAAGTATTTGTTTCGAAAGAATTTTTTTCTTTCGTGTAATTCAATGTTTATATGAAAGTAGCTGTTTCAGGAGGACTTTATTTCAGTTTTATGTCTGAAAGATACTTCTTTGCATGATTTACACTTCCATATATAGAGTCTTATTTTCAAATTGATTACTTACTTTCTTTCTTTGAAAGATTCCCTCTTTTTTTTGTATCGGAATGGAGTAGTAGAAAGCCAAAAATTAATCACTCCTAAAAATATAACCCCTTTAATTCAAATACTTTTTTATCTACCAAACAATTCGGATTGAAAAAAAAATTATAGGGAGCATACAAAAAAATTACTCCGTAGAAATCTGACAGGCAGAGGTTTCAAAAACTGCAAAATTCGTACATTAGATTCATCACAAGCGTAAGGAGAGGTGAGCATGTGACCAGTACTTGGGAAAACTTGGGTGGCAGAACATGGATGATAGGCGCAAACTGCATTCTGCTACTACATTCCATAAGGTCATATCTACTGGAGAACCTGCTCACGTATTTACTAAAGTGTCCTTTAGATCCGATATACATAATCTATATTTGAGATTTAGACATTTTTTGACTGCACCTAAACATGAAACCTCTCTTTTTCGAGGCTCTTTTTCTGATAACATTGCACACTCATATAATCGTCTGTCTACCCATCGAATTGAAACTATTACCACCACTTAATTTCAAGAAAAATCTAAGAGATACATATATGTTTCAATACGGTTTTTTTCATAATATTTCATTCACCATAAATATGTAGAAAATACTAAAATTATCTGAATTATTGTTGAAACTCTAAAATTATATTAAATTTTTTTCATGTTTATGACAGGACTCTTCACATTTGAAGGATCAAAATGTATTCATTTTTCGCCGCTCGTTCCTGCTTTTTTATTTTCTTTTTTCTTGAAGTTTGATTGCAAAATAATTAAACAAGTTAGCTGTCACTGGTTGGATGTAAGAGCAATTTCTGCTTTTCAATACTTATTATTCTATTCCCAATGAAGACAAAAAAAACGCAAAAATTGTGTTATTCTTCAAAACTATTAATGTGAACAGCGGTTTAATGTATAAAGTACCAGTTATGGAAAATCATTAATACTTTTTGATGAATAATTAACAGAATACAACAAAAGTTATTTCAATATTTCATAATATTTATCATCTTCAGGAAAAAGTTTCAAAGGTTTATTACATGAAAACAAAGTTACATTTTGAAAATACAACACTCAGTGGGGATGGCCATGTTCAAAGTGGTATGAACACTGTAAAAATACAGAACAATGAAGATAAAAATATAGAACAATGAAGATGAAAATACGTCTTCTGGCAAAACATTTGTATGGATTATATAATATAATGGAAAATATGAAATGAATTTGAGGAATTAAAACTTAATTAGAATGATCAACAGGTAGACAAGAATATATGTGTTTGATTCAATCATGATATTAAAATTTGACAGAAATTCGACATTATGAGATGTTTGGTTATGGAAACTTCATTAATAAAAGCAACCCTCACGAAGCTGAAGCTGTCAATAATTTGAGTATTGAGTCCCTGTTTGGAAGTAGCACGATTTTTTAAGGACAAAACACAAGCACTACAGGAAAATCTTTAAGGCGCTCTAAGAGCGGTGCCTATGCGAAAGTAGCGATTCCGATATACTTTTCACAATAACAGTATCATGAGCATGTTGCAAATTCAACCATATATCTTCATTGTCACCAATCATCAACATATCAGTGTTCAAATCAAATATTGCTATTTCCAAATACCATTTCAATATAAAATTAACATTCTTTTGAAATGTTTTCCTGTAGACAGTTTTCAAAGATCAACACATTGAACATTTGAAAAACTGAATAATTTCAGATTTGATTATTTTTACAATTTCAAAAAGTATATTATTGAATATGAAGTTTTTCTTAGATCATAATCTTCAAGTGAGGAAGTTGAATATTTGTTAAATAGTTGGTGATTCTGAAACACTAATAAAACATCACTTTTCGGCAATATTTGAAATGTCTGGAGAATTTTTTACTCATTATTATTCTCTATTATTCAACCATCAATTTCCATTAATAAAAAAAAAAGTTTTTCATTACTATGCAATTAGTATATTGCTTTGAATATACAGATTGATATATTAATTTGGTCACATCATGTAAAGTATTTTTATGATATATAAAAAAAGGTTATGTGCAGAGTACGTACTATAAAATATTTTTTCAATATAATATATTAAAAAGTTCATAGAGTAAATTTCAATGTATGAAATATTGAACTATATGCATGTACACATACATATATAATAACAAGGTTTGATGATGTACTGCTTTATGGTTCTTTTAAGGTTGTTGAAACTGAGGTTTTTCATTTTTTCTGGAAATGAATTGAAAAGATAAAAATTTTAAGAAAATCTCTATCGAAAGTTAGTCTAAATCGTGGATTTATTTTTTGCATAGCACATCTCTTGCTGGTATCTATTTTAATTTTCCAAAATTTTAAATTCCAATGTTTGACCAATTAGGTTGTTTTTTTGAAAAACATTTATTACAAGTTCTCATCATTTTCAAATGAAGGAAAGCCATGCAATAAAGTAGTTTTCATTTGATCTAGCATCTACATAATTTATCATCAAGTGCATCATCTAATATCAGATATCTTCTTCAATGGAGTCACTATCAAGTAATTATAATAATTTTTATTAGCCTCAGACTTCCTTTTTTGCTTGTGAGAATATGTCTAAAAAATTTTTTGTATTAGCATATTGCCATGGCATAAAAAAAAATATAGAAAGTTAAATTTTTTTTTCATGATGATCTTCTACCACATAGTAACGGCTACATCCATCAATTTATTGTTATTTTAGTTATTTTATTAATCGTTCGTGGAATGATGTTTCATTTTTTGATGGAACATAAAACAAATCCGAACACTTACCTCCATTCATTGAATCTATGAGGACATTGAAAGGTGGACGTTTGTCAGTTCCACGAATTAGAGTTCTCAATTTGTGGAAGTCAAATATTTGTTTCATCAGAGCAACATAATCTGCAGTAGAGTCTATTACCTCTACTACAAAGTCATGTCCATCAACCTTGAAAACAAATAGTTAAAAAAAAAGTTTTGGTTAAAATATTTCGTATTCAATTACATTGTATGTTGTGGTACCCAAAATGTCAATAAGCCTGTCAGTTTCAAGTTTGGGCGTGAATTTGTACTCTGAGATTTTCTTTGTATGGTCATAGATTGCATCACTGACATGATCAGGCGCTGGACCACCATTTTCAATGTTATATTTTATGCCAAAATCATTCCTAATACCTCCTGGGTTGTGAGAAGCAGTTAAAACAATTCCACCTGAAAAAAAAAACTATTAATTTTTGGATGTTTCATTCCTTTACAGAATAATAATGATCCATCTTCATATTTGGAAATGAACAAAATTGCTTTTCTGTTCAGATGTTCATTATTGTTGAATTGCGCAAATAGTTGGAGTAAACCTTTTTCAAATAAGATATTTCACATTTCATATAAAATCTAATCATATATGATTAAAAATCAGAATGTACCAAACGAATGAGAAAAATTCAATGTTTTGGTCAATACATACTTAACAAGCATTAACTGAGCATTATTTTTACTACATTTTGTTATAAACGAATCTTCAGAACAAAGAACATGAATCTCTTGACTATTATGTAATTTTGTAAAGATCATCTTATTTAATGAATGTGATATTTCTATCTTGTTATTTACTCCAAATATTCAATTGTGAGTCATACAAAATATCTAAAGTTTGGTTGACTTAAAAGGAATAGTAAATGAGAATACCGATGACGGATGAAGAAGGATCCAAATATTTGACTGCAAAGAGAATTGCAAACGATAAGAATCTTTATGTATTAGTCACAAATTTTAAATGTTCGAATAATATATAATGGATGCCTAAATTAAAAGTCACTATTTACCCAACACTTTGTGATTTCTTATCAGGCTAGACACCGCAGGAGTGGAGAGAATACCTAACTGTCCAATGACCAATTTTGCAACCTGAATAAACATAAAACAGAATATAAGTTGATTGGAGAATCATCTGAAATATGGATGCAATATAAAAATATGAATCGTGAAATTGAATATACAACTTGAAATTTTCTATTAAAGGCACCGACAGCTGGTTGAATGTGAACTAACAAGTTGCTTCAGATATCACGTTGAGATTGGGCTGATGTCTTGTTTTCAAAACTACAGTTTGAATATTTTTTTTCTAAAACTGCAAAAATTTATGATTCCTGTGTTAATAATAAAACAAAAAAAAATAGGTTGTATTGATGTAACTTTAACTATACCAGGTGTCCCACATTTTATGTGACAGGCAATATCTGGTTTGTTGAAGGAGATACACAAAAATGTTTCATCAACGAAAATGCGCCTTACATAC